CAAGAGAGGGGAAGCATTATTAGGTTGGTTTTCCCCTATAGCTTTAATTGTAGATCTTTAAGATCCCCATTTACAGACCTTTTGTTACATTTTTTTAACACTGGATATTCATGATGTTGATTTGAGAGAAAAATTGACCCAGAGGCTCAAAAACTTACTAAACTCTCATATAAGTTTTCAAATTATAAATAAATGATTATATTACAAATTATCATTTAAAAAAATTAATTTTTAGAACGATTTTATTTTAAATAATATAACAAAAAAAAACTCTAAGCAATTCAATGAAAAATTGTATAAATATTTTAAAAAATTTGCAATATATTATATAAAAGCTGCGAATTTCAATTAAGAAATATTTTTTCTATCCTTTAAATAATTCTTCAGGGGGTTTTGATTAACTTTTTCGGAATTTTGAAAGAAAATTTATATTATTAATTTTATTTATAATTAAGTGATACTACAATTTTAAAAATATTTAAATTTGAAAATCTAAATTAAATTAACAATGATTAGTGATATTTTCCGTCAGGCGGGTTTTGTTATTTAATTATATTTCATGAAATATCTAAACATGTTTATTTATCATTATATACGAAAAAATTAACGGGCTTGAGTGTGTAGCCTAATCGGCGAATCAATAATCGCATAGATCTGTGTTTATCTAGAAAAATTTTGACTATTTGTGGATTAAGGGATATGAAAAGCTATGGCTTGATTTCCCCTTTTAATACATAAATAGGGGTTTTATTTTATTTTAATACAATATATATTCAAAGCATTTAGAGGATTACGTTGTGAATATAAACAATACAAGATATCAAGACATGTGTAGGAAATCAGGATCAGAATGAAACCAGCAATAAAGTATTATTTAAGTAATGATTATTATTAACTGTATATAAAATGTCTTTATATATATGTTAGCCTTAGCGGGAATATGTTTTTTCCAACAATGTGCTATTTTTTCAAATTTGTCATTTTATAACGCGTTTTTTTAAATTTAAAAATCTGCTTTTGTCGAAAATATATTCCAGCATGTTTAGAATACCTATCTTATGAATTATTAATAATTTACCGTTAACTTTTGATTGAGTCATCTATATATATTAAATATCTATGGAAAAACTTATATAAATTATATTAAGTTCAAATGTTCATGGAAAAATTGTCTGTCCATGCATAATAGAGTATAATAATAATGCACTGCCGAAGAAAAACACATGAAAGCTAACAAATATAAGTATAACCGTAAATAATTATTAAATATATCGTATTATATAAAATTATATATAAAACTCATATTAATATTATAAAATTAACAATTTAAAAATTATATTTAAGATAAAGGTAATTTAATATAAACTCATAGATTAAAAATAAACAATATACTACAATATACAAAACATTTAAAAAAATACATAATAATTTTTTTGTTGTTATAAATGTGTACTTAAATATGTTCGTTGTTTAGCAAATAGTTTGATAAAAAATCACTATCCTATTTAAACATGCTGAAATATATCTAATTATTTATAAATAAAAAGGCTATTTATTTTTTTTAATAAACTCAATATTTAATGATTAAGTGTAACAGAAATCAAAATTGTATTAGAAATAAATCAATAAATTGCTTTAACAAAAATATTTTATACCATATTTCATTTTGGCGAAATCATTCACTAATTTTTAATTAACATGTTGAACATATACATGAAAAACATTTATAGTAACATAGTCTGACACAGCATCTATATGACAGAATATTCACGGATTAAACCCCCTCAAAAACCTATACCTACCCTCAAAAATATTCGCTGCTTTCGGTGCCGATATTCCCACATTATTAATTACACCTTTTTAATAAAAATTTTACTCCCTTCATAACTTAAAAAAAGAACTTAAAAAAAGAACTTAAAAAAAGAACTTAAAAAAAGAACTTAAAAAAAGAATTTAAAGGATTACTGTACAATTGATAACTTTCAAAATATTGTGAATGTAAAAGAGTTATTTTTTATAACATAAATTCAATTAAAAACTCCCTCATTACGCACTATTATAGTTCAGAGTTTACTGATATAATTTTAATCCTTTTAAATTACATTTAAAAGAATAGCAAAAAAGGACCCAGATATAGTTCTATTTGGAAAATAATGTTCATGATTGTGTGCCATATATAGAATTGGTTGGTGTTTAGCAATATCGTTATATTATAATAGGTCTATAATAAAAGTCAATTTTACAGATACATTTTGCCCTATGTCATCTAAAAAATTGATAGATAAAACCCCATTAAATTTTTCCAACCCCTAGTTTACCACCCTTACATCCTACCCCTACCCCCCCCCCCCCTTCCATCAAAAAACTGGATATAAACTGTTCCTACTTCTCTCGCTCATGCAAACCTGGTTTGACGATTTATTCATTCAAATGAATTTAAAATGTATATTGTGTAAATTATGTTTTAAAATTAGAAATAGAAATTTTAAAGTTGTGATCAGGAGATGAATTTTTCCAATGTACCTGAGAGTTAGATATTTCAGAAGGATATTGATGCAGTTTTAATTTCTCGAATGCTGGCACCATTAGGAATGACAGAGGATTGATGGTGAAGTATCTTTTAAAAATATTTCGTAATCTTGGTCTTATCTAAATTATAACTTAGTAAGTTGCGGCAGTGACACGCACTTAAACTAAGGAAATTAGGTGAAAGAGAACAAATGCAAGAGAGATCTTTGTCTAATTATTATCGACAACACATTTCACGCATCTCTTAAATAATGCTAGTAACTCGCTAGCACTCTCCAAATTACTTGAATCATATGAAAAGCTCTTATATAGTTATTGAGGGAAATAAATAATGCATTTATTTCCGCCATATAGGATATATATATATTTGTAACCAATTTATCTGATCCAAAACCCTTATATAAGGATCCTGGGTTTTATTTGAATACAACTATTTATTTTCGAAAAATATATAAGGGGTCAGGCACAAAGTCAGTGGATGATGTGAGAGGAGGAAAAATTCGCCCCCCCCCCTTCTCGCCACCGTAGTAAGAATTTCTGAAAAATATAAAAGGGCTTCATGAATTGTGAACTAAAGAATATTCTTAAAAATGATTTAAATATTTATTTCTTTAATATTTTATCTCACGAAATTTACAAGTTTATTTTTTTACACTTTTTTAACCTTAAACACTAATGGATATAAGACATTACAAAAAAAATTATATTACATTTATCTCTACTAATAACTATAATTAGAAATTATTGAATGTATGAAATGTTCAGATATTCAAATTGACAGAATACACTGAATATCATTATTTATGAGATTTCTTGTGCTGCAGGAAAAAGAAATTGCAAAAAGCCTGAACGATAATATGGCGCCTTCGATATCAAGCTGTACACCTTTTTTTTGATCTAGAAGAACCTATTCCTTAGGTCTTTGGAGAAATAGCATAAATACCTGAAACAGATATTTCATCTGAAGTTGATACATTATTAAATGTAATTTGACTGCCGATTTTTTTTTATTGGAATGTTTTATAAAATTATTTATTACATAATAATTATATGCAATATTTTCCATAAAAATATATTTGGCTAAAGTTATGATGAGAATCGCGAATTATTATATTAGAACTTTAAAGACCATAATATCGACCAGGAATTTATCTATAAAATTGCTAAGGTGAAAACGAAATACGATTATGATTCTGAGATTTACAAACTTCGACTTTACCGACAAACGAATCGTTCTGATATTGAGTGGACTCAATTGAGGATCATTATAACATAAGGAATTTTATTAAACTTTCAGATTTATTGACTCAATTGTGATTTATCAAATGTTTCTATTCAATTTACAAATATTATCTCATAACTCCCTCATATCTGAGGATATAGCAAATTTTGATATTGTAAAATTAAATATTTAACTAAATTTTATTCAGAGGATATAAATGTATCTGAAGGCCAATTAATTGCAAAATTTAAATGATTTATAAAATTAATTTTTGTAGATAATCCTCTAAGAAATACAATGGGAGCATTACATACTTTAAAATATATTTTATGTTTTCCAAATATATAATTACTGTATATTTTGGCAGATACCAATTAATATAACGCAAAGAAGACCCAATATTCATTATTGAGAATAGAAACCTATAGCAAAAAGACATCTTAAAATTAATTGCATAGCATCTCATCGAGTTCTACTATTAAAAAATTAGCGCAATCGCAAAGAAGGTACAATAATTTTTATAAATGAATGATATTTCGATTAACTTTTAAAAATATATCAAATGTTTATTTTAATATTTTATTGTGATTTATGTATAATATTTTTAACCGTATTATATTAGCTTACAATTTATTTGTGTTTCAAATGATCGTATTTTTAAATGTTATGGTTATAATAAATTTTATATAATGATAAGTTCTAATAAATTTTATATGATGATTAGTTATAATAAATTTTTAATGCTTAAAAATAATTATATCCATACAAAAAAATTATCACCCCCTCCCCCAATCCGTGGAAAATTCCTAGATACTCACTTGATTTAACACATTACAATTAAGTTGTAACTAGATGTTTTAAATTTATACTAATATATAATAGAATTCTTATATAATAAATATTTAAAAAAACTACCACTTTTAATTTGAAACTCAATTTTTTGATTAATACATTGCAATTGTTACATATCATTTAATTTAATATCTACATACCGTTTTTAGTATATACCATACATGTATCCATTTAATACTAAAATTATTTTATGAGATAAACACAGTAAAATAGTTATTTAACATATCATTTAATTATAAAAAAATATAACCTTTTTTAAAATTGATTAGGGAAGGGGGGTGGAAAGGTGGTGATAAAATTTTTTACTTGATAAATAATTTAAGAGATTGTAAAATGTCAATTATGTCATCTGACAATCGGCTGAATTTAGCATAAATTAATATAATTCGAATAAACCCGCAAAATTTAAATGAAACCCAAAAATTCTAAAAGCATTAGTAAGAAATACTATAATGTATTTATTTGTTACTTGTTTTTCCGTATATATTATTAGAAGCTTATGATATATTTTTTAAACTATAATTTATAATTAATATTTTATGGTCATTGTTAAACTATAAAGGAATTTATCAAAAATTCAAAGCTTAGAGATTTTGCAAAAATAGGGTCAAACCTATCACCTTTTGGCAAAATCTTAAGGCTAAGGGTATTCAACATTATTTAATAAATCAAAATCTCCATATATAGATTAGATTAAAGAATCTTCAATTATTGTTAGAGGGATTTCTACATAGTCTTAAGTAAAGATGATGTTTTTCCTTCACTAATTTGTAAGAGCCAAGTAATGTAGTCATAATCATTGTGTAAAATTCTCATATCCTTTAATCTAAGCTGAATAAAATTATGCCACAGATGTGAACATTTTATTTACAATTCTATTATAGATATTTTAGTACCTCTAGGTATAACAGGAAATGCTTATTTAAAGCCTCCTAATAAAATACTATCACCAAATGGGGTGGATGTTTGTATGATATCCCTAAGTAATAAATATATACCCTGCATGTTTAACTTACTTCATCTATAATTAATAAGTGAGCATTTTTAAGGTTTCAAGGCTCTAGTGATTAGGTCTCTGTGTGAAACAGATGTAACTAAAATAGGTACTGAAAGTTTAAAACACTATGGATGGTCCTTCCACCTATAGGAAGGGGATATTCCTCTGGTAGCAAAGGGTAAGACAATTTTATGATGTATTGTAGATAGTTCATTAGAGTATTGTAAAGATATGTCTTGCCTGATCCAGAAATGTTAGCTGAAGAATAGCTAATTACTCATATTAATCTTTCTGAAAATGTCCTCTCAGAATATTTGTCCCAAATGAATGATAATGAGTCTTCACAGATAACGAGTCCGTAAATAATTAATGATTCTCAAATAAATGATATAGAGATTGTGCAACAAAATGACAGCATTATTTCGAATAAACATGATAGTGATTCATCTGAGGAGTACATTATATATGATCAAAATCAAGATATATATGGTAACTTACATTTTCAGCACTGATGCAGAATCTAAATAAATCATTTGGGCTCATTTGTGTCCATTGTTGTGCCCATATAATCCAATTAGAGGTTAATGATTTAAAAAAAAATTTCCTAAAGAAGATCTCAATGAAATAATTAAATTGTTTAAATCACAAAAATATTTAAAAAATTATATTTCCTTGAAAAAGTTTGTAAACCAATGTTGGACATGGTTACTAGGTGGAATAGCACCTATCGAATGTTAAAGAATCTAAATGATAATAATATTTTTACATAAAAATGGGGCAATTATCTTCAGAAACCTTAATTAATTAATGCCTTTGGGCTAGAATTTAAACTTATCTCTTAGTATTATCTCCAGTATACAAACTTTAAAATTAAGAAAAATCTTGCATATAACCTTTGAATTAGTCTTAATTTATAATATATTAATATATAATTTTTAAATATATACAAGAATTGATGGCAAAAATTTTCTAAAATGTATAAGTTATACTTGACACATGCTGGAATACACTTTTAATAAAAAAATTAGATTTTTTATAATAAATTTAAAAATCTCTTTCAGTTTGTTGATTTAAAGAATTAAGAGATTCTGGATTCTCATGGATTCTATATCATAGTAACCACTTATCATTGGCTGAGTATTATAATGTTCTATATCCACATTTTTGTTAAATGAACTATTCGGTTAAATATTTTCTTATATATCCACAATATAAATGTTGAAAAATATAATAGAGAACAATAATTATCATGATATCCCTATTCTTAAAAATACAGAAAACCCCTTTCATTTTAAAATGCTCCCCTGAACTAATTATTATAATAACACTATTTTCTAATAAAAAAAAGAAACCATACTGCCAAGTCCTGAGCCTGCTACAGGTTTGAAAGATGCGAGTGATATAGATGACAAGACATTTTTGAAAAATGCTAGGGAAAGAAAAATAGCCAATAATCGAAACAAAAACTCAAAGGTTTATTCTTTGTTATTTTTTTAATTTCCGGGAATACATGTGTTTTTCGCCATCTTTTTTTTGGCTAATATCCTTCATTTTAGCCTTTTTTATAAAAAAATATGGTCAAAATGGATGTAATATAACAATGTTGATATTATCAATTTTAAACGTACAAGTGCGTGATATTCAAAATGGATTTAATAAAAATGAATAAAGAACCAAACCAACCAATCATATCATTCCATACTACGGTTGGCCAATTTAAATCATATCACTCCAATTTTAAAAAAAATCTAGATTTAAATCAAAATTACTTTGATAGGTAAAATCAAAATTAAATAACCAATTGCACTAGTAAAATAACACTTGTTAGACAAAAAACTATTTTTTTATTTCAATTTTTGACATATTAGAAAATAGTTGCCGATCTTAATCGCAAATAGTGAAAAATTATTTAATATTCTAAATATTAAACAAAACTAATCAAAAATCTACACATATTTAAAAAAAAATTTAATATCTTTATAATAAAAAAAAATAATAAATTAGTTTGTTGTAAAATTAAGAAATATTAAAAATCACTAGTAAATATCTATATAGTCGGCATTGGTATTAGAATTTAATTGCTTAATTTAAAAAAAACTAATTTTCCTGCCTTTTCTGTTCCTAACTGATTCCTAAGCTTAGAGTGCCCAACTTCCGAATGAAGAGATTACTCTATCAACTGAAGCGGATGATGAAGATGCAGTAAATAGTTGTTTTATTATTAGAATATTTACATCCTTCATCAAATTTTCTTGGGCCACACCGATTCAATTGGGTTCACTTTATTTATTGTATTATCCGAAAAACATAATTTTAGTAAAGAGCTCTGATCTTACTTAAAACTTTACCAAGATAGATACAATATCAGTGTTAGGATACAGAAGACTCCCACATTCCATTGTCGTTTCCATTTCATTGGTTGTTAAATTTGAATGATATTTCGGATTTAATATTCTAGGATAAGGAGTGTGCAGGAGTTAAAGCTTGATTTTATCTTTTAGCAAAGGATGAAATATGATTACTACTTATTTTTTTATTAACATGTAAGATGATGAATAACTTTTGCAAATTCTTCCATCAATATACTCTGTCTGGAATGTTTGATTTATTTATTTCTAAAAATTTTTAAACATTTCACAATTGGTTTTTTAGGATTTTAATCATATATTCAGCAACTCTTTTAAGTATAATATTTTCAATCTTTTTTTTCCTAATTTGCAGTATCGATTTTATTTTGATTGCTTTTCACGTATTTTAAATAATTTCGCCCATTTCAGTTATATAGGCCATCTAAACGATTTACAACTGAGTTCCAAAGAATATCTCGTGGAGAGACAAGGGATCTCCCTCCCTCTTTTTCCTGTTTGAAACTTGCAAAACATAATTATATTTAAAACACTTTACCATACTAACTATTTGTTCCCGGATTACTTTTATTTTCCAAATCATATGATAGTAGTATATTTTAAAAAATGAGCATTATGCCCATAGGCTATAATTTTTTATTTCTCTTCAAATCATCCCTCATTTTTGTCATATTAACTGCAAAGATCAGCTCTTTATTTGAAAAAAAATATCAAATTACAACATATCATTATTTTTTTTAACAATTTCTTGACTTGTTACTTTGAGCATTAGTCCTCATACTTGCAAAATAATATTTAACTTTTTAGCCATAATTTTTTATTTCCGTGCCTATGATTGTATGGACACTTCATCTTAAAGTTTCGCCCAAATCGTGATTGGTCCATTAAAGTGCGGGAAAAACAATAGTTCAATATTTATAATAATAGATATTCTATACATTGAATCTCGAGTGGTAATTATTGCCCTTATTATCAGGTATTTCTGTACATTAAAGATTATTCTAGGAAGAATTCTATCTATTTCATCATATTTTTTGTCTTATTCTTTCAAAATGGAGATTAACAGGTGAAATGGTAAAAATATTATTGATTCTTTTGGAATGGTAAAAATTTATATTTTAATGTATTTTTTCTTATGTTATTAGCGATTCAAATTATATAGCAAATTAAAAACTATTCTAATTTAAAACAAATATAATTTATCACAATATTAATTCTTTTGGAATGGTAAAAATTTTTATTTATAAAGTATTCCTATGTTATTAGCTTAGTTCTCACACAATATTAAAAGAACAACCTAGGATTCAATCTCTACAGCAAATTAAGTAGCCTATTTTATTATTCAAATATAGATTATTTAAAATGTATAAAACAAATACATATTATTTAGAATATAATCAAATACATTTGAATTGTATAATAATTATAAGCCAATGATTTATCAGCAAATTCAAACTTATTAATGATAGTAGTATTATATTATGCTCAGCTTATTCAAATTTCTTTCTTTTAGTAAGAGTCATTCCTAAATCAAATCAATATGAACTTTATTTAATGAGGTTCCTAATGATTCAATTGTATAAGCTTTAGAATAAATATTTGGATGAGATGACTTCTCTGACTTATTTATAACTGAATGCCATCCTTGCTGGGACCACCCATTGTATATCTACTCCACATCTCCCTCGAGAATATTGAATTGTGCCCTATAGAGAAATAAATATATTTTTAATTTTACCCATCCAGGTTTTATCCATATATAAAAACAAAGGATTTATGTCAATATTATTTATATGTGCCAAAGTTATACATATATCTAGGACATTATCAATGTCCTCAAGTCTAAGAGGTAAAATGCACATCCTCCTTGCAATTTTTCTTGCTCTAGGTAGCAATAAATTTTTTTTAGCAATAAAGAACTATCTTTTCTCCAAACACTTTGAGTAAAGTGGAAAAACAGCTTAATTATAAAATAAAAAAAATGTAAAGAAATATTATCAATTAACTTTTGATTTGTATATTTATAAATACATCATACAAAGACTTCTATTGCTGCCTATTCAAAATTTATCATATTTTGTCTTAGAATAAAGTTATAGTCCTCACATATCTCTTTTATCATGAGGAAAAGTTTCATATGTGGCTATACTTTTATTTGGCAATAAAGCATATATGGCTACTACCATATTTTATAAGGTATAATTGCTTGTAAATTTTTGGGGAAATGAAAAAGGTGCCATTCATGTAGATGGTTTCAGCCTCTGCAAGGATTCTAATAAATTTATGTGTAGAGAATATTAGGATCTCATTATTATGATTGGCTAAGAGCAATGGTTCCCCTTCAAATGTTGTGGATTCTGAAGGTAATATTAGCTCACCTGTTGATAGAGACAAAGCTGGCCGTGACTGTTTAATTATTCGAATCATTGTTTTTTTGAACTGATTCGAAACGTGGAAGTGCATTTGGAAAGTTAGAAATATCTGGAACATTTTGAAGCCTTTCTGTTAAAATATTGTTATATATTCTCTTCCTTGATTCCAGTGGGTTCAATTTCACAGCGGCTTTGAGGCTATTTCTAGTTTCAAGGCTTAAAAAAATCATCCTTGTATTCTTTGTTAGTATGTTCTTTTGTGGTATCTATTTTAGAATAGCTTAATCTTAATATAGCACGTCCATTGCATAAATCTTGACGACGCTTATAATGATTTCTATGCCTATGATTGTATGGACACTTCATCATAAAGTTTCGTTAAATTCTGTGATTGATCCATTAAAGTGTGGGAAAACAATAGTTTAAAAATATTTTTATTTATAATCATGGATATTCAATACATTGAAGCCTCAAATGGTAATTATTGCCTTTATTATCAGGGATTTCTGACATTTAAGATTATTCTAAGAAGGATTCTATCTATTATAAGTGTCATCAAAATTTATATAATGGACCTGCAATATTAGGAATCAGATTCTAGAATTGATACAACAAAAGAACATACACACGAAGAGGACAAACATGAATTCTTAAACCTTGAAACAAGAAATAACCTTAAAGTTGTTATGAAATCGATCCCACTAGATTCAAGAAAAATAATATATAAAAAAATTTTAACAGAAAGATTTCTCAATGTTCTAGATATTTCCAACTTCCCCAATGCACTTCTATGCTTTGAATCAGTTCAAAAAACTATGATTCGAATGATTAAAGTCAAGGCCACCCTTGCCTCTAGCAACAGGTAAGCTTCAGAATATACAACATTTGAGGGAATCCATTCCTTTTAGCTAATTATAATAATGAGATTCTAATATTCTCTACATATGAATTTATTAGATTCCTTGCAGAGGACGAAACTATCTAAGTGGATGGCACTTTTTTTTAATTCCTAAATGTTTACAAACAATTATATACCTTTCATATTTATTATAAAGAGCATATAGTAGTAGCCATATATGCTCAATTGCCAAATAAAAGTAAAGCTACGTATATAAAAGTCTTCCAAATCAATTTAGGAGTGACTCTTAAAAAAACCAATTCCAAATATATACTAAAAGAAAGAAATTTGGACAAGCTGAGTTTCACAATATAATAATTGTATCATCAATAAATTAGGAATTTCCTGATAAAATGATCGGCTTATATTAAATTAATATACAATTCAAATGTATTTGATAATATTTAATTTTTTTTATTATTTATATTTTACACTCTAAATAATATAAATTTTGTTTTATACATTTTAAATAATTAATATTTGTCTTGTACATTTCTAAATAATCTATATTTGAATAATAAAATAGGCTTCTTAATTTGCTGCATAAATTGAATATAACATAAGAAATAATACATTAAAAATTAAATTTTTACCATTTCAAAATGTTAATCTCCATTTTGAACGAATTGGAAAATACGATGAAGTGTCTTACGATCAAAGGCATCCTTACGATCAAAGGCATCCCCCTCCCTCTAATTGATTTAATTAAAATTTGAATTAATTTTATTTCGTTTAAATCGCGATTCAAATCAAAAAAATCACGATTTTTGCCAACCCTGTTTCAAGTATTGGGTAAGCGGGAAAATTTTAAAACAAAATTCGTGGTAAGGATAGGGCGAATGGCGTTTAATTTTTTTTCAAAACAATGAACGGGCGAGCTTTTTGGTTAAATCCGCACATGGTAGACCAACACGACGTAATGGATTTCTAAAAAAATTTTTTAGCCCAGCATTTATAATTTTTTTATTTTTAAGTTAGCCATGGATTTTTTTTAAAAAAAGGTTTATTTTTCGCCCACTTCCGGTTCCTGAATTTTTGTAGGTGTTCTGGATTATATATAATAATTCACTTATCGTTTGGTATTGTAGTTTTGATTTTTTTTACGAATAAAATTTTTTCGGTCACTTCGGTCCGGGTTATCGTTTGATTATTATAATTTGATCATATTTTTCTTTTAAATAAAATATTTTTGCCACTTCCGGTCTGATCTTTTTTGGGGGATGTTCTGGGTTATATATAATAATTAGCTTATAGTCTCGTATTAAGGTTTCTATTTAATTTCAAAATGGTCTGATCTTTTTTGGGGGATGTTCTGGGTTATATATAATAATTAGCTTATAGTCTCGTATTGAGGTTTCTATTTAATTTCAAAATGGTGTACTTTATTAATAATAAGATGAGTGGGTGAAAAAGATCAATTTACACAAAAATCAAATAGAGATGGCAAAAAGTTAGAAAGAAAAATTAAAAATATCCAAAACATGAAAATCACATTTCAGGAATATTAACACGACCACAAAATATTTAATTAATTACACAATTTTCCTGCTTTTTATGAATAAGAGTTTTTCTTTTTTTTATCAGAACCCATTTTTCCTTTTTGATTCACAATTTTTCTTTTGGTAATTGGCACTTTTTTCATTTTATGTGAAACCCTGGTAAAGGATGTTTTTTTTTGAAATAAATATAACTACATTATTATTTTTCGGTATTGGCCAATATCCGCTTTGTATCGGTTCGGATTTGGCGTCGGATAAAGAGGTGGTATCCGTGAATATCCGCATTTGATATTTTTTTTAAGAAAGCAAATAAAAACGAATACAGAAATAAAAATAGTAAATTTTTCAATTTTATTTAAACCAATCGAAAACGAATAATGCGCTATTCGATGAATTTATTTTCGAGTTGAAAATAGTTGGTATAAAGTAACCATATGTTCAAACGCAAATAGAAAAAAAAATTTTGAACAAAAATCTAACTTTTTTTTTGAAGATCAATAATTTTTTGATCAATTAAAAAAAAAACTTTTCCTAATTTTTATGCATTAAAAAAATCTTTCTTAATGAAATCAGAAATTCAAAAAAAAAATCAAAAATTTTTTGAAGATTTTTTTGTCAAACTCCGTAAATAATATTCATAAAAAAAATCCAGATTTTTGAAATGACTTTGGGAATTTTCAAACGGAATTTTCGATGTAAAATCTTTTGTGATTTTGTATCCTACGGCCTCATTCATATTGGGATCTGATCCTACACGATTTAACAGCTGATCGACTTTTAAAATGATGGTTTATGAGATCAATTCATCCTTTATTAATATTAATTGTTTTTTATAACTCTATTCCTAAGAATTATTTGATTTCAATAATTTAAAAATTGATCTCGTAAAAACGTTCTAAAATTCGAACAGCTGTTTATTCGTGTCGGATCGGATCCCACTATGAATCCAGACTTCGTCTTCGCTAACAATTAGGCAGATTTTTGTAAACAATATAAACAAAACATGCGTGAAGTCTGAAGGGTCTTAGCAAATATTCGCGCGTTTTGTAAATTACTGCATCGCGAATTCGCGCTAACTATGAATGCAGGGTAATAAATTTTTCATAATGAAAATCACTAATTTTTTTTGATGTTCTAAATATTAACTCAAAAAAATCTTTGGAGATTTCTATTATTTAAATTTTAAAGAAAAGATTAGAATAATTTAAAAATTTTAATCAAAACCCGAAAGTTCGTTTCGAAATATATTTATTATAAATTGAGGTCTGAATTTGACCGAGTTCGAATGAATGTCTGTCCAAGTTTGACCGACTCAAGTTTGGTCGAGATTGGTTCGCGCCAGGACATTTATATTATGTTTGATTATTTAATTTTTTATTCTTTTTTGAAAAAAAAGCTCACATTTACGGTGACGAATCAAAACGACGGTCCACTAAATGAAGAAGACCGTAAAATAAATATATTATTTAATTATTTTTTTTTACTTGTTTCTCTCCAAAATATCCTAAAATATTGTGACCTACACTTTTTATTTAGTTAGGAAATAGCTATCCTTTCCAATGCTTTACACAACCCCCTTTCATCCCCAGTGGAGTGGGAGGTTAATCTGTATTTTTTTAAAGCCTCCCTAAAGTCTTCTTTTAAATACTTCTGATACTTAATATGCAAGAATTGATGGCAAAAATTGTCTAAAATGTTTAGGGTATATCACTCGACACATGCTTTCAGTAAAAAAATTAGATTTTTTTTCAAACTTTTAATTAGAAATTTCTAATCTCCGTGAATTCCATATTTCAGTACCCCCACCCCTCCATATCGTCGGCTGAGCATCATAATGTTCTATATCGACTTTTTTTGCAAAATGCTTTATTTTTGATTTTCATAGCTAATGGCGATTTAAAATATACCTGCCCGGGTATATTTAAAAAAATTAATATATGACCCGGCCCGTGTACTCAAGTTTAGGTCACCAGTCCAGGTCCGCAGATCTCTGATCAAAATGTTAGAATGTAATTGAGAATTTTATTTTCGTATAATTACATTATTATTTTCCAATTTTGAAAAAATAGAGTAAAGTCCTTTTATTTTGAATGCTTCCCTAATTGGTATAAAATCATAGGGAATCTTTTTTTTTCACTTATATTTAGCAAGGCTCTATATCATGGCTACGCAAATAGTCATATTTTAAAGCATCAGCATGTTCTAATCTCCTTCTAGCAAGATCTCTTCTGTAGACGCTAAGATATTTTATTTCCTTATAATTTAATAATTATAAAAAAAAATGGATATAGAACAATATAATAATCAGCCTACGATATATAATAACGCTATATTTTGTAACAAAAAAATAGAAACTTTACCGCCAAGTCCCGAACCTGCTACATTTTTGAGAGACGCGAGTAATTTAGATGACAATAAATTTTTGAAAAAAGCTAGGGAAAGAAGAATAGCTAAAAATCGAAACAAAAACTCCAAGGTTTATTTTATTTTTATTTTCTGGTACATGTGTTTTAATTAGTTCGCCATCTTTTTTGAATAATTTTCTTAAGGATATGTCATTTAACAATGTCGTTACTATCACTTTTATGCGATATTCAAAAGGGATTAAGTAAAAATTAATGAAAAACCAAACCAACCAATCAAATTATTTCAAATTAAGGCGGGTATATTTTTTAAAAAAAAACTCATGGCAAGGTTGACGAATGGGATTTAAATTTTTTCAAAACATTGAGCGCACGGGCTTTACGGTTAAAAAATCCGCCCATTGCAGACCACTCTACTAGGCTATGCAATAAATAATTTCTAAATTTTATTTCCATTTTAATTTAATTTTTATAAATTTCCTTAAATGTAAATTAATTATAAAGTTTCCTATTCTAGGAAAAAAAAAGTCCCATCAAAAAAAAAGAAAAAATAGGATTAACATAGGGAAAGTGTCTATTCTAAAGAAAGTTGAAAAAATATGCCCGGCATTTTTTTATTTTTGAGTTAACTATAGATTTTTTTTAAAAAAATGATATTTTCCACCCATATCCGCTCTGGAATTTTTATAGGTGTTTTGATTATAATAATACAAGCAAATATTTTTAATAATAAAAATTAATTAATAAACATTCTGCCATATTGTTATCTTTTTGCGCATTTTGTTTATAAAAGTGTGCGATAATCTCTTCAGAATCTGTTTTAGTGAAGCTGGTGATATTGACAGTTACGATAGCCGTAGGTTGATTTCTGATAAATTGGAAATTTTGATATTTCTAAAAAGAAATCTTAAATATTATTTTAAATATTTATTTAAATTTCATAATATATTTGTTTATTACTTATTATGTATATAGATTAATGTTGTTACTTATTATATAAAAGTGATTTATAATAAAAATATTTAAAATACTTTTAGGCAATAGAATTATATAAACTATAACTGATCATTATAATATATTTAAATGACGTAAATTATGGTATAATTAAATTATAGATGTTATGCTAATAAAAAGTATATTACAAATTAAAACCATTGGTATCTTTACAGAATATAAAATTAGATATGATATCGGATCGGTTATCGGCCAATATCGATTTAATATCTGAAATATCGGATCGGATCGGCCTCCAAAGTGGTATCGGTACACCCCTACTTTTAGTTATCTAAAGATCGGAAATCGGGATAATTTTTAATAAACATGAATGATAATTTGAATTTAGGGTTTTCAGTTAATTCTTATTTGGTTATATTTTTTAATGATCAATTCGAGACATCAAAATAAAAAAACATTTATTATTTATATATTGTGTATAAAATATAAAATATTATACAATACAAATCAATTATAAATTCAATCATTATGAGGAATGCATCGAATTCCATCTTCAATGAATTTTGTGGTGAGAATAAAAATTTGAAAAATTGTATGTAAAATAACTGATCAAAATACTCGTAACAATAGCAATAACCTCTATTCGGTTAACGGGTTTAGGAGAATTTGATCGATATTGATTTTTTTATAATTCCGAAAAAATTTGGATTTAATTGTGGCGAATAGGGTGGTAAAAATATGATATTTGGATAATTTTCACTTAATTATCCTCGCTCGATGAATAGGAGCATTATCCATTATAAGCAATGAATTTGATGGTAAAATTGTATATAAGTCATCTAAGTATGTTTTGAATTTTATGGTAGTGAAAGCCCCATCTATAATTGTGAATTTTTTCAATCCACTTATTCCTATTGTGCATAGGACTGATATATTTTTTCCTTTGGAGAGAGGTAACTTAACAGATGGCCTTTTTCTCAAGAGTGCTCACCCATAGTGCGAAATAATTAGGGTATTAAACCCTGTCTCGCCCAGGAAGAATACATTTTTAAAAGAAATATTCATCTTGTCACAATATTCCTTTCGAATTTGAATTACATCTGGAGTGTTTCTCCTATCGGGTTCTTTTCCAACCCCCTTCCGACTCCAACCCATTAATTTAATGCATTTAGATATAGCTGACTCGCTCAACCTTAACCGTAGCGGTAAGTATTCTATTATATTTCTGATGCTATATCCCTTGTTATTACCAAACAAAGCTATGTTCGATTGTAGTTCTTTGTTGTTTTTTTTTTCTTCCAAACTCTAATCAGATGATGTCGTAATATTCAGGGAAAGTTTCCCGCAAGAAACGATTGTGAGCTAATCAGCTATATTTAAATGTATTAAATAAACGGGTTGGAGCCGAAAAAGGGTTGGAAAGGAACCCGATAAAAGAAACGTTCCAGATGTAATTCAAATTCGAGGAATATTGTGACAAGATGAAAAATATTTCTTTTGAAAATGTAGTCTTCCTGGACGAGACAGGGTTTAATTCTCATATTATTTCGCACTTTGGGTGGGCCACCCTTTGGAAAAAGGTCATCCATTAAGTTACCTCCCTTCAAAGGAAAAAATATATCAGCCCCATGCATAATAGGATTAAGTGGATTGAAAGAATTCACACTTATAGATGGGGATTTCACTGCCATAAAATTCAAAAATATACCTCGATGAATTATATACGATTTTACCATCTAATTCACTGCTTAGAATGGATAATACTCCTATTCATCGAGCGAGGATAATTAAGTGAAAATTATCCAAATATCATATTTTTACCACCCTATTCACCACAATTAAATACGATAGAAAATTTTATCGAAATTATTAAAAATCAATACCGATCGAATTATCCTAAACCAATTAACCGAATAGAAGTTATTGCTACTGCTACGCTATTTTGAGCAGTTATTTTAAATATAATTTTTCAAATTTTTATTCTCACGCCACAAAATTCATTGAAGACGGAATTCGATGTACTCCTTATAATGATTGAATTTATAATTGATTTGTATTGTATAATTGATTTGTATTGTATAATATTTTATATACATAAGAATATGTAAATAATAAATGTTTTTTTTAAATATTATTTTGATGTCTCGAATTGATCATAAAGAAAGAACTGAAAACCCTAAATATTCAGGTTTATCAAAAAAAATTATTCCAATTTCATACCCTGATTTCAATCTTTAGATAACTAAAAGTATAATTAAAATATAGAAATAATATTTTAAAAAATTCATAATGTTTTTTTTTAAATTTTCATTTCCCCACTTAAACTTGTGTCCAAGCATATTTTAAAAATAACTATATTCGAACTTCTTCATATATTGAAATATTTTTATAACTTTTGACGTTAGTCTTCATTTATAAAACTTTTATTATTAGAATTTCTTTAAAATAAATTTTTTTTTTAACATTATGGAAATGTATTACAGCAAATCATATTATTTACTGTATTTATTATAATATTTCACTTATAGTCTGATATTGTGGTTTAAAATTATTTAATTTTAAAATGGTGTACTTTATATTACTTAGTCGATTACTTTATTTCCCGCGATTGTAATAAGATAAGGCAGGGGGTGGGTCAAAATAGGGAAAGATTTGATAATTGAAGAAAGATGCCATGAATTGACCACCAAATAAATGAGAAATAGCAAAGAAATGTTAGAAAGTTAATTAAAGAAATATGCCTATAAAAAATACATATCAGGAATGACGACAACAAAATATTTAGTTAATAAAAAATTTTCCTTTCGGGTAAAGGAGAATCAGGGTTCGGTTTTGGAGAGGATAGAACCTTTTTCCTTTTTGATTGACACTTTGTCTCTTGTGATCAGGACTTTTCTCTTTTCGAATAGAAACTATTTTAACTGTGCAAAAAGTAACCATATGTTCAAACCAATGTATAAAAAAACACACAAAGAAAATTCCCATTCTTTAAAATAATCAGAGTTCGAAAAATAAATCTTGAATAATTTTTTTGAGCAAAAATATTTGTCTTTGAAGATCAAAGATTTTTTGATCAAATTTTTCAAGATTTAATGAATATTAAAGTTTTTGATCAAATTTTATCTAAAATCAAAATATCTCTTTTAAAATTTATAAAATGTAAAGTAAACCTTTTTTTTAAATTTTCATGCATAATAAATTTTTCATAAATGAAATTACAAATTTTTTTTTTGGATGTTCAAGATGAGAAGAAAAGGAAAGGAAAAGATTAAGAATTTTTTAAAAAAATTAATAATTTAAAAATTTTATTCAAAACCTGAAAGTTCCAAGTTTGAATTATTATTTTTTAAATCAAAGTTTGAATCTGACTCAGTTTCGAATGAATGTCTGTCCAAGTTTGACCGACTCAAATTTGATCTAATAGGACGCGGATTGATTCGCGCTAGGACATATAAATATCACCGCTAATAATACTAAAATGTTTGATTATTTAATTTTATAAAAAAAAAGCTTACATTTAAGGTGACAAATCAAAACGAGAAACCATTGAATGAAGAAGACAAGAACACGACTAGTTTATGTAAAATAAATGTGTTATTTAATTTGAACTTCATTTCTCCCAAGATATACTAAGTATGTGACCTACACTTTTAATCTAGTTAGAAAATACCTATCCTCTTCAATCAATGCCTATACGCCCCCGCCCCGTAACTATGTATTTCATACTAAATTAATTCCTTTTAAATAAATTTTTAATTCTATTTTTTAAAATGAAATTATATAAATAAATGATGATTTATTTTATTTAAAAGATTATATAAAGTTAAATATTATTAAATTTAATGAAAGATAATAAATTGATTGAAAGAATATGTAATTAAGGTACTTTTGATAAATTAAAAATATATTTTAATGTAAATATATTAATATAAATTCTTTCTAGAATAAACAATTATATTAAACGTTGTTCCAAGGACTTTTTCTACAATTCTTAATTAGATTAATTTCTTAAATTGTTTAAAAGAGTCTTCCATTGTTAATCCTTGGCCAAGATTTGACCATTTCGACTTTTCATCAAGTTTTTTGTGAAAAGGGTAGTTAATAGTATAAGGTTTTGCAACAAAAATTTTTAATTAAATTTGAAAAAAATATCCATTTATTTATTGTTATATGCTATCATGAATGTTATGTCATTTTAACTCGAGATTTGGATAATAATTTTCTGCTATAGAGCAATTATCCAATTTTATCATTAGTCGATTATTGTCATTATATTTCAAAAATTATATAGGTAGTTATAATTATTTTTTTCCTGATAATCAGTTTATCATTTTTCTTTCTTTCTTTCTTTCTTTCTTTCTTTCCTTCTTTCTTTCTTTCTTTCTTTCTTTCTTTCTTTCTTTCTTTCTTTCTTTCTTTCTTTCTTTCTTTCTTTCTTTCTTTCTTTCTTTCTTTCTTTCTTTCTTTCTTTCTTTATAAAGAATTAATTTGAAATACTATTTTTTTAAAAAAATAAAAAAAATTTACATGTATCAATGGCGCTATTTATAGTATTGAAAATGGGAGACGAAATATTTCAGGATCGCTCATCAACCCTAGCAAGCGGTTCGCGGTGGACGAAGATTAGAAACTTAAATAGAGAACCAGTTTTATATTATAATAAAAATTTTTTTTGAAAATTTACAGTTAGAGTGCGATTTCGTGGCGAATTATACAAAAATACTACTTGAATGCAAGGGTACGGCCTCGGTCGCGATATCGCCAAAACGAAATGCGTAATTCATCACTAAACTATAGCATAAGTCTATAATTTTACATTGTAAAAAAATTGCACAATCCTCGAGCGATATAGTGCTATTTCACGGGTACTTTGAACTAGAGTTGTGCCGATTCACAATTCTTTTGTCACCGATCCGATATTACTAAAAATTAGTGCAGTAAACATTTCTAAAAAAATCGAACGCGTTTAAAGTTTATTGACAAAAATCGAACGCGTTCACGTTCATAAACCCATTCAAAATTTTACGAAAAATTTTTTTTTAAAATTAATTTAATATAAATAAATGTTTTATATATTTTAACACAATATATTAGCCATGTTAAAAAAATATATAGTTTTATTTTGATAATATAATTATAAATAAAATATAATATAATATAGCGAATAAAAAAATATTTTTATTTATAGAAAATTTTTCTTATTAAATTTTAATAACAATTGTTTTCAAAATATTTATCTGATAGACAGGAACACATGACAGTTAATGGCATTAGCTATATTAAAAACGCGCTCTACAGGGGCAGATGAGGGGAAGGCGGTATTATACTTAATAAACAGCTCTTTTAAAATGGAGAATTAATTAAAAACATCTATTGATAAGTTATCCTCCTCCAATCCATTCTCTACTTCCTCGACAAAAAAGGATATCTCGAAATTAACAGTTCTCTAGGGTTTTCATAGCATTTTTTTCAATAACGCTATAAGTTTATTTTTAATAGATTTGTTCTGTGGAAGTTTTATCCATGGCCATTAAAGTTTGAATGCTGGATGTTTAATTGCAGAAAGAACATATTGATCTTTATATATTTGTTCAAATCTTTAAAAAAATATTATATGTAATTAATTGAGAGTGATAGTTTTAATACCTTTTATTAATCCCATTTAATACGGCGTCTATCAATGGTTGACCATATTTGAGGCCACTAATTTTTTTTAATTTTCAAATAACTATCGTTATTGTTGGGGTCAAATATCCCAAATTATTTCTTCAAATTTAATGATTTTACTTAGTTATATTATATAAAATAAAATAATTAATATTACAATCAAATGTCGTCTTAAATTGGAACCTGAAGATTTTGACAATATAATACTTTTTGGTCACATTTTACACTTGGTAAGCATAATTAGTTCCTTCAATATAGGATGTTACTCTAAAACATTTATCATATTTGGCCATGGTAATGATAATTCATCTGATTTTGGATTTTCAGAATCAGATGATGTGGATTAAATCATAATATCCATGCTCATGCTAATCTATTAAATTAAATATAAACAATAATATTCAAATTAATAAACTATGTGTTAAAATAATTGAAATGTGAAAAGGAAATACAAAGCCGATTTAAAAATATAAATAAAAAGTTCGGAAATATAAAATTTTTCAAATAAATAAAAATAAAAAGTATTTTTAAAATTGAACGAACGTTAAATTCGAACGCGTTCGTCATAAAAAAGGAACGCGTTCACGTTCAAAGTTCGTCAAAAATAAAAGGAACGCCATTCATTATTTCTTTTTCAAAAAACGAACTTTCTTTTACGAACGCGTTCGTTTACAACCAACACTACTAAAAATACAGATCCGATATTTATATTGATTTTTTGTACCATCTATCGTTGAACCAGTAGTAATCAATATCTTTCTAGCTGATTTTTACGAATGATTTAACTTTAAAATTCCCCAAAAGTTAATATCTCATTTATAATATTTGCAATGTTTATGGGTAAATATAGTGTTATTTAAAAAGCCCATTTTCGCCGACTTTTAAAAAGGGGCTAAATTTTTAGCCAAAATATTCGAAATTTTGACAAAAAAAAATTCCAAACTTTTCTGCCTTTTGTGGGTGAAATAAATAAGCTTCAGTAATTTGCTTTTGGCCAAAATCTTGAAATTGGTTAAATCTCGCCGTTTAACAACACTAGCTTAATATGACTCGTCTTTAGATATCTTAAAATCATTTTCTTGTTGCAAGATAATATTACAAAAAAATGGTGTAAAATTTTTAACTTTTTTTTTTGAACATTACAACTAAATGGGTTTTTTTGTTCTTATTGTTTATTATCTATGAAATTATTTATATTACATATATTAATCATATATTTACAATCACAAAATAACCAAAAACGATTTTAAAAAAAATATATCGGATAGGTTTTTTAAAAAATTTGGGCCCTATCCGATATTTTTAGAAAGACACTAAATACGGTTAGATTCGATATTTAATATCGGCACGGCCTTACCATAAACGAGGCGTAAGACAGACAATATGACAATCTCCCTTAATTTATTTATATATATTTATAAGGTTTTACGGGTTTATGATAAGTCTTCTTCTACTTCAGCCAGTGATGTATTTAAGGAGCCCTTTGGAGACGGGGTGATTTTAGATTTGAATTTCCTATTCTTTTCTTTTTTTTTGATAATTTTTTAAATTTCGATTATTATTTTCTTTTTTTTTTGGTAATTTTAGATTGTATTTCTTTCTTTTTGTATTTGAACAGGTTCCAAAAAATGAAATTCCTTGATAGTAAATTGTGATTTCGCCTTTTAAATTATGATTTTAGTCAAAAAAAACGAGATTTCAATAGATAGATGTTCAACACCTGGCATCTACTAGCGAAATCTTCATGATTCCATATTTTTTTGACTTAAATGCTGGTGTTAGCCGTTTTTTAAAAAAATAAGCTATTTAACGTTACTAGGCATCATGTTTGTGACTGCCCAGTCTAAGATTTTATTTTGAGATGGTTTGTTGCGACATCCGATTGGAAAATTTAGTATTTTTTTAGATGTGAATCATCGATACAAGCTCTTTAGAAAATCTATCCGACTTTTGCGGATATCAAGCTAAAATTGGCCGATTACCGATATCCTCAAGAAAGTGTCGGTCTAAGGTCAAACCTCTCCGAGTTGGATTGGATTGGACTTGAATGTCCGTGCAAAGCTCTAGCTGCAATGGCCCGAAAATAGTATATACGAAATTTGATACAAGTACTAACTGAAGTCAGTTGCTAGCTATTTTTGACGATATTTTTATCTCTTTCCCAAAGATATTTATAAAAGGGTCGGATTATAAGGCGCGTGGTGAATAAGTTCATTCATTTTCGATTTAACGTGGGTTCGGAAATGGAAGGGATCGGGGACAAGGGGGCCCGTTTTGGACTTGGATTTAGTCAAATTTACCAGAATCGGAAATATAATTTTAGAAGAAAATGCGGCAACCGATAAAATTTTTCTCATTATAGTGCACACAAATTGAGCAGTAGCGTTTTGCCATACTTTTTTAATAAAAAGACATAACGCTTGCTGTGTTTAAATTGAAGCGGCGTTTTTAAATTATTTTTATTTTGTAAAAAAAAAATGGAGTTAATAACTTTGGATAATGAAAAGTTAAAGGCGTTATATATATTATTACAACATAAAAATAAGAGGAAGTTCAGTGGAAAAACTTCAGAAATATTTATTAAAAGAAATTTATTCTCTGAGTATGTTACACTGAAAGGTGATTTAACAACATCTCAGTTCTTTAATTATACGAGAATGGAAAGTTCTACCTTTTCAGTCATTCTAAATATGATTCATGATGATATCAATCCCAAATTAACTAATTTTAATAAACAAGTGGATGCAGAGGACAGGCTATTTTTGACATTAAGGTAATGAAAATATTTTAATTATCCTATATTTATTCATAAAAGATATTTAATAACTGGGATGTCCTTCTCCCAATTATCTTATAGCTCAAGGATATCCAAATCCCGTGTTGCATACATTGTTAAATCAGTATGCAGGGCAATTTGGAATGCTGGCAAAGATATTTATATGCCAAAGCCTACAAGAATAGATTGGGAAAGAGTACATTTAATTTATATATTCCAACAATTTAATATATCATTATTTAGATTTCCCAGGAGTTCTTACTTTATTCAGGGTTCCCCAATTGTTTTGGAGCCTTGGATGGGAAACATATTTATATCAAATGTCCACCAAATAGTGGTTCTTAATTCTATTGTTATAAACACAGATTTACTATAGTTTTGTTAGCCTTTACTGATATATATAGAAAATTTAAGTATATTGATGTAGGGGCTTATGGAAAGCAAAGTGATGGAGGAGTATTTAAAAATAGCTCCTTGTATAGAGGTTAGAATATAATAATTTTTAACTGATATTAAATCATACATATAATAATAATGTAGAAATTATAAACAATACTCTGGATCTCCCACCTGACAAAGCATTTCCAGGCCAAAATGAAAATATGCCATATGTAATGGTGGCTGATGATGCATTTCCACTGTCATCTTATTTGATGAAACCTTATCCAAAAAATGGTCTATCTCTAGAGGAAAGAGAATATAATATGAGACTCTCCCATGCACGTGTCAGTGTGGAGAGGAGCTTTGGAGGGATTGTAAAGAAGTTCGAAATACATAGTAGACCAATTGAAATTAGTGTCAATAGCATTGAAATTATTATCAAAACTATATGCTTGTTGCATAATATAATAATTAGTAATGAAGGAATAGCTGGAGATGTTGATGATACAAGTATATTAAATATTTTAGTAACTTATATTTTCTTGATATATAAAAGATACAATGCCCAACCTGACCACAAGACCATTCCCAATAAGCAGAGAAAATAACTCATCAACATTACAATCAAGAGATTTAAGACATAAATTTAAAAATTATTTAAATTTATAATTATTTTGTATTGTTTATTTTATCAAATAATATAATGATTATAGTATATGACTGATTAAATATATATTTATAATAAAATGTTTAAATTTTGAAATCTTTATTCTGAAAACCTCATAATTTAAAATCTAGGAATATATTTTACAAAAAATATATTAAAAAACTGACTAATCAATGAATTATTTATTAAAGATACTATAATATTTATATCATTAGAAGCCTTTAAGTATTAAGATCATTCTCAATAAGCCGACAATTTCTTCAACAATTGAAAAAGAGATTTAAGAAACAAATTTAAGAAATATTTAAACTCTTGATTATTTTTTATATTTAATTGTTATATTTATTGTTAATTTTTTCAAAAATGTAATTGAATATTGTATACTACTCAATAAATAAATATATAATTTTGAAATCTTTATTCTGTAAAAACATATATATATATATATATATACACACATAATTCACTAAATTAAATAAAAATACATATAATTTCAAAACATATATATGGAACTAATTTATTCTATAATGCTAGTTAAAATATCTAAAGCAGTTTCATTATTATTTTGTATTGGTTCATTTGTTTGTAGTTCATTCATTGATAATTCACAAAAGTATTTGTATACATTGGATTTAAATAATAATTGAGTAGTATAGTTGAATTTGTTAAGACCTTCCTCCATAGATAATAGGAACAATCTATATAAAATATAAAATTTTTAAGATAATTATAAATTTTACTTATTTGAAGATGGAGGAGCTTTTATTAAGTCTAATAATTCGTCCTCTAACTTTTTACTAGAAGATTTAGCCACACTTCTGATACTCTCACTAGTATCAAAATTGCTAGTTGTAGATCTGTCTATAATTGTAGGCTCCATGAATTTTATATATTCATACCATTTGTAGTTCAGCTTGGTTCCATCAGCTCCTGACCTTTTGCCCAGCTTAATTCTATTAAGCTGGTCACGAAAGTTCTTGAGCTTTCTCCTCAGACAAAGGGCTGAGGTATCATACTCAAAGAATTCATCTGATAGCCTTAAATAAATGAAAATGGCATACTTATTTATATTTATACCTGGATCCTATCCCTCTCAGGTGTTCCATGACAAGCATGGTTTTTTTGTGATCTTATGGCCTTGGAACCATACCATTTCATCTGTTACTAGGTAGGCTAGAAACTTTTTTGTTATCGCATCATCCCAAGGCCTATATATAAAATATTAGTTTACATTTAAAAATATATTACTTTACATGTAAAAATATATATAAAAAATGTTAGTTTACTTACATATAAGTAGTGGTCTCCATTTTTTGAAAATTATTTTTTAAATAAGCGCTCAGAAAAAGAAAACCAAATTACGTTTTTTTATAATGGGTGCAATTGGTAAACGGCAAAGCGTTCAATTTAAACATGCATTTGAAATGCATAATTGGCGTTTGCAACGCAGCGTTTGAAACGCTCATGTGCGCACTATAATAGAATTAAGCTGGGCAAAAGGTCAGGAGCTGATGGAACCAAGCTGAACTACAAATGGTATGAACATATAAAATTCACGGAGCCTACAATTATAGACAGATCTACAACTAGCAATTTTGATACTAGTGAGAGTATCAGAAGTGTGGCTAAATCTTCTAGTAAAAAGTTAGAGGACGAATTATTAGACTTAATAAAAGCTCCTCCATCTTCAAATAATTAAAATTTATAATTATCTTAAAAATTTTATATTTTATATAGATTGTTTTTATTATCTATGGAGGAAGGTCTTAACAAATTCAACTATACTACTCAATTATTATTTAAATCCAATGTATACAAATACTTTTGTGAATTATCAATGAATGAACTACAAACAAATGAACCAATAAAAAATAATAATGAAACTGCTTTAGATATATTAACAAGCATTATAGAATAAATTAGTTCCATATATATGTTTTTATTTTCAGAATAAAGATTTCAAAATTATATATATTTATTTATTGAGTTGTATACAATATTCAATTACATTTTTGAAAAAATTAACAATAAATATAACAATTAAATATAAAAAATAATCAAGAGTTTAAATATTTCTTAAATTTGTTTCTTAAATCTCTTTTTCAATTGTTGAAGAAATTGTCGGCTTATTGAGAATGATTTTAATACTTAAAGGCTTCTAATGATATAGATATTATAATATCTTTAATAAATAATTCATTAATTTGTCAGTTTTTTAATATATTTTTTGTAAAATATATTCTTAGATTTTAAATTATGATCAGAATAAAGATTTCAAAATTTAAACATTTTATTATAAATATATATTTAATCAGTCATATACTATAAACATTATATTATTTGATAAAATAAACAATACAAAATAATTATCAATTTAAATAATTTTTAAATTTATGTCTTAAATCTCTTGATTGTAATGTTGATGAGTTATTTTCTCTGCTTTTTGGGAATGGCCTTGTGGTCAGGTTGGGCATTGTATCTTTTATATATCAAGAAAATATAAGTTACTAAAATATTTAATATACTTGTATCATCAAAATCTCCAGCTATTCCTTCATTACTAATTATTATATTATGCAACAATCATATAGTTTTGATAATAATTTCAATGCTATTGACACTAATTTCAATTGGTCTACTAAATATTTCGAACTTCTTTACAATCCCTCCAAAGCTCCTCTCCAGACTGACACGTGCATGGGAGAGTCTCATATTATATTCTCTTTCCTCTAGAGATAGACCATTTTTTGGATAAGGTTTCATCAAATAAGATGACAGTGGAAATGCATCATCAGCCACCATTACATATGGCATATTTTCATTTTGGCCTGGAAATGCTTTGTCAGGTGGGAGATCCAGAGTATTGTTTATAATTTCTACATTATTATTATATGTATGATTTAATATCAGTTAAAAATTATTATATTCTAACCTCTATACAAGGAGCTATTTTTAAATACTCCTCCATCACTTTGCTTTCCATAAGCTCCTACATCAATATACAGAAATTTTCTATATATATCAGTAAGGGCTAACAAAACTACAGTAAATCTGTGTTTATAACAATAGAATTGAGAACCACTATTTGGTGGACATTTGATATAAATATGTTTCCCATCCAAGGCTCCAAAACAATTGGGGAACCCTGAATAAAGTAAGAACTCCTGGGAAATCTAAATAATTATATATTAAATTGTTGGAATATATAAATTTAATGTACTCTTTCCCAATCTTTTCTTGTAGGCTTTGGCATATAAATATCTTTGCCAGCATTCCAAATTGCCCTGCATACTGATTTAACAATGTATGCAACACAGGATTTGGATATCCTTTAGCTATAAGATAATTGGGAGAAGGACATTCCAGTTATTAAATATCTTTTATGAATAAATATAGGATAATTAAAATATTTTCATTACCTTAATGTCAAAAATAGCCTGTCCTCTGCATCCACTTGTTTATTGAAATTAGTTAATTTGAGATTGATATCATCATGAATCATATTTAGAATGACTGAAAAGGTAGACCTTTTCATTCTCGTATAATTAAAGAACTGAGATGTTGTTAAATCACCTTTCAGTGTAACATACTCAGAGAATAAATTTCTTTTAATAAATATTTCTGAAGTTTTTCCTCTGAACTTCCTCTTATTTTTATGTTGTAATAATATATATAACGCCATTAACTTTTCATTATCCAAAGTTATTAACTCCATTTTTTTTTTACAAAATAAAAATAATTTAAAAACGCCGCTTCAATTTAAACACAGCAAGCGTTATGTTTTTTTTTATTAAAAAAGTATGACAAAACGCTACTGCTCAATTTGTAAGCTGGTCACGAAAGTTCTTGAGCTTTCTCCTCAGACAAAGGGCTGAGGTATCATACTTAAAGAATTCATCTGCTAGCCTTAAATAAATGAAAATGTAAGCATACTTATTTATATTTATACCTGGATCCTATCCCTCTCAGGTCTTCCATGACAAGCATGGTTTTTTTGTGATCTTTATGGCCTTGGAGCCATATCATTTCATCTGTTTCTAGGTAGGCTAGAAACTTTTTTGTTATCGCATCATCCCAAGGCCTATATATAAAATATTAGTTTACATTTAAAAATATATTAGTTTACATGTAAAAATATATATAAAAAAATGTTAGTTTACTTACATATAAGTAGTGGTCTCCATTTTTTGAAAATTATTTTAAAAAAATAGCTCAGAAAAAGCAAACCAAATTACGTTTTTTTATAATGGGTGCAATTGGTAAACGGCAAAGCGTTCAATTTAAACGAATGCATTTGAAATGCATTATTGGCGTTTGCAACGCAGCGTTTGAAACGCTCAATTTGTGCGCACTATTAATCTATTAATTTTTTTCGCCGTTATTTCTACGGCAGACTGCTCAACATAGAAAAGTAAAAACAAGTAAATTTAATTCAAAGTAAAAAATTAATCGGTTAGGAGGGCACTTACGACAAAGCTATGCCCCACCCCCATTCCAATTCAACACAAAAAAATAAAATAATCTATAAGGACCAATCCCTGTCGGGGACTCTTGTGGGTCCCTAAATCAGGGATACGGTTTTTTTTAAAAAAAACAAATTTAACCCGCTATTTTTTAAAAGGAAAATCTTAATATACTTATTTTTAACTTTATCGAACGTAATAAAAATGACGAACAGCTGACTTCAATTAAGTCTCCCAATTTTGTTAAAAACATTTAATCGGTTTGCAACATTGTTTTTTTTTTAATCAACTAGTAAAATTTAAGCATGTGCATTATAAATAATATTAACTGAAAATGGTCTGTTATATAAAAATTTGCGGGTAAAAAAAATTATTTATGACCCCAAAATATTTAATATTGTATCATGGATTTTTTTTAAAAAAGTAGGATATAATGGTATTTCTTCTTTTTTTTATATTGAAATTATCCAACTCGCTTAAAAATGTATAAATATGCCAGTAGCGAGATATTGTCTAAGCCTCGTGATTTCGTTAATAGATGTTTAAACCTTCTGTGCCATCTATGACAAAATCTTAAGGGGGTTACTTAATATTTTGCTGGATAAAATATTGAGTTGGTCGTTTTTAAAAAATCAACTCCAAATGAGCCATTTAACAACATTTAAATATACTAAATATTTATCCATTTTCCTATATTGGTGATTGGCCTGTGTCAGCTTCGATATCCGAAAAATTGTATTGGATATGTCTCAACAAAATTGGATATGGGTTACGTTATACTCTTATCTCTAATAATAATATTTAATAAAGTATTCTCTTAAAAAAAACGATTTATTTATTAATCCATTTTAAATATGCAATTGTAAATTTATTAAATAAAATAAAACTAAAAGATCGTATTTTATATTCCGGACGAGTCAAAATTTAGTGTTGCGTCGCCAGACCTAGAGCCTATCCCAAGCTTTTTAAAACGAGATGCCTCTAATTCTAAGTTAGTAAATGTTATATCTTATAAGGTTTATCATTTGGATATTAATGTTTTAATATTATATAAACTTAAAAGGTCAATTGAATTAAATAATTATATCAAGATTACCATTGATTGACCATATGCCGTTTTAAGAATAATAGTAAAAATAGCTCAAACATGTTGAAATTATTCATTTATTACTTATACAGTTCATCATGATAAATTCGTGGTCAAATGCTTTATTTTTTAAAGTTTGAAGGAAGAAAAAAAAACTGACAAAAAATGTTATATTTTGGCTTAAAAAATGTATATCTAAGAATTTTTTTAAAAAAATTATTAAATTTTAAAAGGGCCATGATTTATAATTTAAATATTTCGTTAATATATGTTTTAATAATTACTGTTCTGTTTTACATATTTTTCCTTTTTTTTTTATTTGATAGACTGTCTGATATCTCAAACACCAGACCATTTGCTCTTGGGAAAGGGAGGAGAAGGCAAATGGATAAGAACGTATAAATAAATAGTATATGATAGACACTAGACCTGTGCGCCGAAAAAAACTATCGGTGGCTTTTTTTAAAAATCTAGTCAGCTGTGCTCCGCCTTTTAGCCACCGTCAACATAGGTGGCTTAAACCAACCCACCTTCATTAATTTTTTTTGTAATATATCTAAATTAAATTAAAAATATTACACTATAGGCATATTATTCGATATTTATTAAAAACCAAACTAATTATAAATTCAAACTCAATTTTGTAATTTTATAGCTATCATGTATAAAAATAATTTTATTTAAATTTGTCGGACATAGAGATGATTTCCTTAAATTAAACGTCAACTCAGCTGTTGAGAAAGCCCTTTCACTAGATGTGCCAGTTTCTGGTACAGAATTTTTTTGGCTAGAGTGGAAAGTTTTGGAAATTTGATCATCTATTCATGTATATTGCGTTTTCCGATGTCATTCTTGTTCAAAGTCACCTAAATGGCAATCATAGTTTGTGAATGTTTTGCTAACTTTGTCTAATAATTTGTATTTGAGTTCCTCTTACTGATCTAATATCATCATACTCTATAAAAATAATTCATTTAGACAATGTGCAATTTTGCTCTATTATACATTTTGACACAATTTTTGATTTTTTGGAATCTTATACCACCTAGATAATTTTGTGAAAAAGTATCGTAACACAAGACATTTTTTTCTTAATTGATAGAATTTCCCCTATCATTATCATTTATTATTAAATGCGTTACTCCTCTACTTCTTAAAAGAAAGCCAAGTTTAATGTACTCCTATTTTTAAGAAATTCAACTGTCTCTTTAAAATTTTCGAACGAAAATAAATAGTTCCTTCATAGTTTGGTAGTTTGAGGTAATGCATTCCAACTCTTATAACATAATAAATAAATTATGCCATCTAGTTTAGACATTTAATTTTTAATGATTTCATTTGAATCGCTAATTTGAAAACGTGTATCAGAGTTTGGATCAGTGTCATCCAAGATCTAGCAAATATTGTGTTTAAGCATTATTGCAAACAGTGATGTTGACCAACCGTTAGAAGAAAAAAAATTGTATAATAAAATATTAAAAATTATTTTAAAAAGAATTTATACACCGACCTAACGCATATCAACGGAACACGTACTTAGTTTTCATAAACGGCCGCGTTTTCGGCTTAATTAAAAATTTCGGCGACCGGCGCATAGGTCTTAACAGACCCAAATTTAAGTTATTCTTTTCTTTTTTTTCCATTTTTTAAATCTTTTAAAATTGATATCCAATGCAATGATGATCATTAATCGTTTCTAAAATTAGGATATTGGAAACGTTTATGCTATATTTTTTAGGGATTTGCCAGAATTGTATTTTTGATATTCTTTTTAATAAAAACTGTAATTTTAATAAATGAAGAAGTATAAATATATTTATGATTATTTTTTTTAAGGTTAAATTTACTGTCGTAGATGAGAGTTTAAAGTTGGACCCACCTAATGACGTCCTTGGCAATACGGATTCTTGTAAATAATACCTTCTTTTTTTTAAAAAAAACGAATATTTATTTTGATATAATCTTTTTGGCATCCTGCTTCTAAATCATTAAGAATAGGCAATATTTAAGAAATTCCTTCCCCTTCCCCCATTTTTAAAGATTTTGATAATTTTCGATATATATATATATGTTAGATATTTAGCTAAGAAGTCAATATTTACCTATGGTAAGTATTGTAGTATCGATGACATATAAGGAATATTCCATTCCCCATTTTTAGTGATCTAGGAACTTATCTTCCTTTTTTTTTACAACTGAGTGAGCTAAACTAACAAGTTTATTTAAGCCATTTAGATGTTCATAATGGTACATTGGGCTTTTAAAAAAAGAATGTTTATACAACTTAATAAATATAAAAGTATTTTATTAATTTGTTATATTTTATGTAATATTAAATATAATTAAACAAAACTAAGAAGGGATTTTTAGTGTTTTCTCTTTTATTATTCGTATCTGGCCTATATAGTTTTGTCAGCTCCCTCGCGTGAAAAAAGCCAGCACCATTATGCGAGGGTCGCATAATTCACTTGGGTTCTTCCTAGGGCGGGTATTTGAATGAATATCCTATTATTTTAAGGCCTGTCAATTCGGGAATTAAATCAACATTATCCTAATTATCCATAAGATACCACGCGTAAAATCGTATATTTAAATTTTCAAAATAAATGGTTATTATTTACTGGAAAAAACACGTCAATCAATCTGCGATAGTATCGAAAAGGGTAAACCAAATTTTTAGGGACGAATCAACTATTTCTTTGCATCCTAACCGATGGAAGACCATTCGAAACAAGAATAAAGAAGCGGTTTATAGATTTATTTCTTTTTTTCTATCACAGAATTTTTATAAAAAAGACTAATACACTCTTCTCTAACTAAGAAAAATCTATTTTACCTGGGTGCAACTTGACCCCGAGTTTTTTTTTAACTGGCTGGACAATTATATCTTAATATATTATTTGCTTTAACAAAAAGTAAATAAGCTTTGGGGGCGATAGCTTTTTGAAGATGATTTAATAAAGCCTTCTAACTAGTATCTTTAATAAATAATTATTTGTGATACTAATATTTCTTTACATATTAATCAGTCCACATGTGTGGTTAAGCCGGTTTTTAATGTCAATTTTCGATCCGGGATCGACCAATCTTGTTAATTAAGAGATTCGATCTATCGAAATGGTTATGATTGCAAAATTTAATCAGAGTTTTGGAATCTGGATCTTAAAAAATGGTTTCAGTTCCGGCTCCAAACTTTGTTAAATGCCAATCAAAGAAAATGCATTGTCAAATTTAAAACGATAAATTAGCTATTTAAAATTGTATCGCACACTTTTATTAAAACCATCCGAATTTTTTTTAAATTGGTATTTTCCCCATTTGCTTTATTTACGTACATTTTATATTATTGGCCTATTCATTTTCCCCTTATATGGGGTGATCAGCTGATATCTCTTTAATTTCGTCCAACACCGGGCCAGCCTCTAAAAGGGTGTATAAATAATTTACCATTTAATAATTAATTTTGTATTTATAGATTGTGTTTCATCTTCCTGACACGCCACCAGCAAAATCACCAATTATAGAGCCTACCCCAGGATTGCCAGAAGGAAACAATTCAGCTACCAAGTTAGCTATTTACATATAAATTCACTTATTTAAATAACCATGTTTAAACTTTAAATGTCTCATAACTAAATTAATTCAATATCTCATAAGCCTTCTGCTGTCTTTTGTTAATGACTCTTTTCTTTTTAATTAAATTTTCTTTCATAAATTTTTACCGGCTTTAAAACCTGGATACAATGCTCTTTTCGAATTAGACCGGATATTGGCATATTTTTTTTCCTATGTGATATATATTTTTTTTTTGTTAATTTTGAAGTATATTGCTAATTTTTTTTTTACTTGTTCTACTCATGATAATGAGGACACCTTATTTTTTGTTTTAAGCATTCGGTGACATTGTTGTTTTTTATAACTTTTTTTTTTGCTTTTTAGACTGTTTAGTTGATACCAGTGTTGTTAAACGCTACTTTTAAAAGTAGCGCGCTACCGCTATTTTATAAAAAAAGTAGCGCGCTATTGCTACCGCTATCGTTTTCAAATGAGTAGCGCGCTATTAGCTACTTTAAAAAAAGTAGCTAAAGCTACTTTGATTTTTTTTTTAAATATTTTTTTTTACATAACTTTATTTCCACAAATAAAATATTGATATAAAAACATGACTATAATTTGTTACATATATATATAATTTATTTATTATTGCACTTTAATAATAATAACATTTCGGTACTGTCATCCCCAAGTCTAGAGCGACGATCAGAAAGTATAAGCTTTGCCATACTAAATAATCGTTCAGCACTAGCACTCGCAGTATTAAATTTAATAAACAAACTTTTTATATGAAAAAAATCATCAAAAATATTTAAATTAGTATTTTTAGATTTAAAAAAAGCATCTAGAGGTTAATTAAAAATACTTCAGTATATTCTTTAATAAAAGTATGCTCCTCCACATTAAAATACTGTATTCCCATTTGATCCAATATATAATTCATTCCCATTTTTTTCTCATCTAGAAACAATGCTAAAAGTTTCATAGCATTGTAAACACTATTCCATCTTGTAGTGTTTGGTGTCAATAAATAACGTCCTTGATGACTTATTTTGTTTATTCCAAAGAGCTTGGCATTTAGAAAATGTAGATCTTGATACTCTTTTAAAATCCTCATTTAATAATGCTTCTTCAGCATCCACTGTCGCAAATAAATTTAGGTTGTGGCAGGAACAACGATGATGGCTAGGTAACATAGAAGACTTTATTGAAGATCCTAAATATTATAAATTTTATTTTATATTGGTGAAAAATTAAATATAAAATAATTTAAAACCAAGGATGTCATGAACATCAATTATCTCAAACTCCATTTCATCATCCTCTTCTTGTTCTACATCTTCAATATTTTTGTCAGGAATATTACTAGTATTGTTATTATTATTATCTTCCCCAAATATTCTATATTATTTATATCATATTATAAAAAAATTATAATAAATTTAAAACCTGAAGGCCTTCAGGAAATTAGACCCATTATCCGTAAATCTTACAAAGCTTGTTTTGAATTTTGTAAGACCTATGGATTTCTGCAATAATATTGGCTAGAATGTCATAAGTCTGACAGCCAATTATTCTCTTTATAGAGTCTGACAGCCAATTATTCTCTTTATAGCTAACGCTACAGATTTTCGTATAAGATTTTTAGGATCAATCCAATGTGCAGTTACTCCTAAATAAGCTCTAAAAATATGACATATTATAAATCAGAAAATAAAACATTTTTACCTTCTATTGTGAGTCCAGCAATCTGCCGTTGTACAGACGTAGGAGACATCTGATAGATTTAATATCAAAGATTCTTTCATTTCCTTAAAGCTCTCCAAAATTCTTGCCATCAATGTCTGCCGGCAAAATATCTTGGTCCGTGGAGAAAAAGTGTTTATCATCTTTATAAAAGAATCATTATCAACCAAGGATAATGGTTGAACTTTATCTATTATAAAGTTCATAATGACTTTGTCAGCCAATTTTTGGGATACACCAGGTGTTGATGAATCCAAATTGGTTAATTTTGTTTGTATTAAATTTGATTTGGAAGTGGGTTTATCTTCTTCCATTATCCCAAAACTTTTGAGATATTTTTCAATCTCTTTATAATTTGAAGTGTGCACAGTCTAAAATTATAAAATACTTAGAATAAAAATTATGTAGGAGATAAGTACATAAAAATGATTGAAATAACTATTTTAAAATGTTTTAAATAATTTAGATAAAATTTATGAATATATAAAAAAAATGATTGGTTTTTGATTTTAATTTATTTTAAAAATTAAAGATTAGCCTACACATTGATATTAAATTTGTTTAATATATTACCTTTAAATGTTTTTTCAAATTAAAGCTGCTCGTATGATTTAAAGAGATAATTTTGCGGCACATCTTGCACCGAAACTGATATCCAGTATTAATTTTTTCTTCAAGGTTAAAGTATTTCTTGAATTTTGGGAAAGGATCATCTATATTTTGCCCATTTTCCAAAGAAATTTCAATATCTTCAACAATCTCACACATAACAAGATTTATAATGCTTAATATAAAATGTAAAATGAAATATAAAATAAGATAAAAGCAAGGACATACCAATAACGGAATTTCAAAAATATATAATTTAATGAATGCGCAAAATATAAATTAAATACAGATTGCTATTTAACAACTGTTTATATCTAATATATAACAAAAGTATATTTTTAAATATAAATTTCAAAATTAAATTAAATAAAAGGATTATAATTTTAGATTTTATAAAAAATATATTTTAATAATTTTTAGATGTATTTATTATGTAAAATTGAAAGTAGCGAATAGTAGCAAGCTACCGCTATCGCTATTTTTTTTAAAAAGTAGCACGCTATAGCTACCGCTACTGAAAAAAGTAGCGCGCTATTTTAACAATCAGTAGCGGTAGCTATAGCGCGCTATTTTAACAACACTGGTTGATACTAAACAGCCGGCTGTTTAGACGATTGATATTACATTAAAATTATGGTAGTATGTACGATTAAATGCATCATTTTAAAAATGTACGGTAGGTCGTTTTTTTTCTTTCTTTTAAATCTTCGAGTTGAGCTATGTCTTATTGACATATTTCGTATATCGGAAATCAATTATGGTGTTTGTCCAAAATCATGGCGAAGGTTCTAATTTTTTGGGTATTGTTAAAGAACGATAAGAGATGTCTCTGGGAATTCTAGAAACTTGGTCATCTCCAAAGAGAGTATGATTGAGGTCTATCACCTATCTAGTTTCTAGTACGAATCATTTTTTAAAAAAAAAAATTGTTTTATGTATCCTTCCTTTTTTTGATAGATTCTCCAATGCATCAGCTTTCCTTCACAGATTTGCACGCGGGAAGAGGCATAGAAGACATATGGACAAAAACGTTTAAAATATATTTAAAAATAAATAAATAATACGAGACCTTTGCTCCCTATGTTATTAGATTTGGGTTTTTTTTGTAATCTTTTAAAATTGATATCCAATGCGATAATCATTAAATCGTTTCTAATATCAGAAGATTGGAAAACGTTTATGCTGCAATTTATTCTTCCATTATTAGATTTTTCTTTATATAAGGATTTGCCAGAATTGTATTTTTGATATTTTTTTTTAAAAAAAATTGATTTAATTTTAATAAATATACACATATAATATATGATTATTTTTTTAAAGGCTAAATTTACTGTCGTAGATGAGAGTTTAAAGTTGGACCAACCTAATGACATCCTCGTGAATACTGATTCTTGTAAATAATATCTTCCTTTTTTTCAAAAAAATTATATTTATTTTGATGTAATCTTTTTTGGCATCCAGATATCTTAATAGTTAAGAATAGGAAATATTTAATTGCTAAATGAATGAATGGAAATCTTACTTTTTTTTAAAACAAAAAATCAACATTTAAAATCTTTCAATAATCCATATACCACGCGTAAAATCGTTTAGTTACAGATTCTTAATGAATATTTTGTAAACATAAATGGATATTTGAAAATTATATACTATAAAAAAAACTCTACCAATACACGCTATTCACAACAACTCTAAAACTAATAAATTTTCTACTCCAAATTCTACAAAAAAAAAGTAAGAAGTCATGATAATTATGAAATTCGTCCCTTTTATACTTTACAGAAATCACGAGTTCATCACGTGATATATAAAATCAGGCGACTATTTATAAATACGATAAATATTTTTTAAAAAAAGAGTTATTAAATAATAATATTTATAAATTAAAATAAAACACGTCAATAAATCTGCGATAGTATCTACAAGGGTAAACGAGATTTTTAGGGACGAATCAACTATTCCTTCCAATCCTAACCGATGGAGAACCATTCGAAACAAGAATAAAGAAGAGGTTTATAAATATTTTTCTTTCTTTCATTACGACATTTTTTAAAAAAAAATTTTACCCCATAAAGAGAGAAAGAAACTTTTATATTTGTAAATTTTATTCCATACATTTTACAACCACAATAAAAGTATTCAAATTATCTAAAAAAATTAATGAATGTATGTCTTCACAATTTCTTTTTTCGCGGGTCTCTCTTTGTTTTCCTCTTATACACTAATCGGTCAACCCCATATATTATCATATATGACAGAAACTGATTTAATTTTCTTGAAGCGATTATGTATTTGGGTGCAACTTGGCCCCTAATTTTTTTTTTTAACCGATAGACAATTTTATATTAATACATTATTTGCTTTACGAAACCTAAATATGCATTTTGACAATGATCCTATCATTTCGTTTCATATCAATGAGTATTTTTGTGTGGTTAAAGTTAATGTATCCGGTTTTTAATGTCAGATTTTGAGACCGGATCGTTCGATCTTATTAATTAACTGATCCGATCTTTCGAAATGGTTATGATTATAAAATTTTAATCAGAGTTTTGGAGCCTGGATCTAATAAAAAGGGTACCTTATTCCCCAATTATTTTTTTTGAAAGTAAAAAAGAAATAATTCTAGTTCCTGTTTACAAACATTTGCAAATCAAAGAAAGAAAAATTTTTTTTTAAATTTAGAACGATAAAGTTAGCTATTTAAAAATTGAATCCGTCACTTTTTGTAAAAACCGGTATCCAAAATTCTTAAATTGGTTTTCGGTTTTCTCGATTTTTTCCTAGATGTTATTTAGTATCCATAGAATATGGGGCGATCAGCTGATATCTAGTCAATTTTGCCCAACAATGGGCCGGCCTCTAAAATCGGTGCAGTACCTCCTCATATTTGCAGTAATTAATATTATAAAGTTTGTATAGTCTAAATGATTTACCTTTTTTTAAAAATATATTTGTATTTATAGATTGTGTTTCATCTTCCTGACACACCACTAGCAAAATCGCCAATTATGGAGCCTACCCCAGGATTGCCAGAAGGAAACAATCCTATTTCCAAGTTTAGCTATTTACATATAAATTCACTTATTTTAAATAACCATGTTGTAACTTTTAAATGTCCCATAAAAAAATTAATTCATATCTCCTAAACCTTCCGCGGCCTTTTGTTAATTATTCTTTTCCTTTTAATTAGATTAAATTTGCTTTCTACATTTTTTCGGGCTTTGTAAACTGGGTACGGAAATGTATAATTAAACATTATAAATTGGTGTAATTTTTTTAAAAAAAGAGGTAAATTAATTTAATTCTTGATTTTTATTCATAATAATTAACGATTTGATTTTAATCACGCTAACTTTTATTTTATTGTTCGTATTTATTATCAATTATATCATTATGGGTTTTAGTAAAAAGTAATTTTTATTTAAAAAATCACCCATATTTTTTTTAAAGGGAATTCACCGAGTTTTCTGAAATGATTCTAAGCTCAGGTGATCGGCAAATTTTTAAATGTCTCTTTATAAATCTTGCTATTTCTTTCTTCAAAGGAAAAGGAAAATTTACAGAGGGTGTTTGGTCTTTATCGGTTTTAAACTTCTAGGCTCTGTTCTGGTTCGACCAATGACATATATAATACCTCTACTGACGATTCATTTATTAACAGTGATACATCAATGCTAAATCAGTTGGAGACGCCATCTTGGTTACACTAATCATTATTAAAATTTTAAACGAAAGCCTAATTTATTCCTATATCTGATGCAAACTTTATTAAAGAATTACCGGATAATCGAGATGAAAAGGAAGCAAGTTATCAAATTTAATAGTAGTTTTTAACATGAGAATAATTACTATTTGTGTTACAAAAATGGCGGGTCTAGCTGATTTGTTTTTAACGACGCTTAAAAATGCATTTTAATGAATGAATCGTCAGTCTAGGTATTATATATGTCATTGGGTTCGACTTATTTTTGATATTTAATAGCTTTTTTAACCTTTGAGTGGGAACACCCTACTTAGGTTTATTTTAAGTATTTGGTGACATTGTTATTTTTGGTATCGTTTTTTTTAAAATTTGCTTTTGCTTTTTAGACTGTTTAGTTGATACTAAACAGCTTGAATCAACCCAGAACACAACCCCAAGGCTATTATCTGAAAAGGCACCAAGTAGTAACAAAGTAAATAAATTCATAATAAAAGTTATACGCAATAGTCACCATGTGTTTATCAAAAGTACCACATGACGATTGATAATAAATAATAAATAGTAGTGATGGTACTATAATATTAATAAATGTACGTGTGAGTACATCATTCTTAAAATGTAAGGTAGATCGTTTTTTAATCTCTCTTTCAATATCTTCAAGGTGAGCGAAGTCTTATTGATATATTTCATAGATGAAATCAATGTTGAGGTTAGCAGTTGAACCTAAAACCGTGTCAAAGTTTATCATTTTTCGGGCATTGTTAGATTTAAAAAGGGAGCATGATTGAGGTCTGTCACCTATCTAGTATCTAAATTACGTTTTAATTTTTTTTTAAAATCCTTCTTTTATTTTTGATAGACTCTCCAATGCTTCAGCTTCCACCCAAACTTATACGCGTTGGAAGAAACCTCGAGGACAGATGGATAAAAACGTTTTAAATAATATTTCAAAAAATAAATAAATAATATGAGACCTGGTCCAATTCCATAACCCTGCATTTTAAACGCTTTCAAATGTTATTGTATAGGTGATTCTCATTTTTTAGCATTTGTGAGTTTTAAGGATGTGGATCAGGCCTTAAACGTACACTAAATTCCGCTAATATAAAGGTTTAATTAAGCTTCTTCTTTTTTTTAAAAAAATGTGATATAAATTAATAAATTTTTTTAATTTTACCATTTTTAAAACTAAAATATAGTTTAAATTTATAGTCCAAGATGAAGGTCTAAACATGGGCTCGCTTAAGGACATCACAGATACTACGGATTCCTGTAAATAAGTGCTTCCTTTTTTTAGAAATTTTTGTTTATATATATATATATTAAAGTACAGAGGCCTGCGGTCCTAAATGATAGGTAATAATTTTTTAAAATTCCGAGATTATTTTTAATTGTAGCATTTTTTTCAAAGTTCTGGCTCTAGCATCCTGGTTGAAGTTGTAGGATGCCAGTGGATCTACACAAAAAATGTCCCAGGTTAAGAACTCACAATTCCACGGGATCGTGGATTACCCATCAAAATGTTTATTATAGGTGTTGCAAATCCAATCGGCTCGGGGGGAGGGGGGCGGTGGAAGGAATTCCAAATATATAATGTCACTGCATTTGGCTTAGAAATTTGCTTTTAGATCTTTAAGTTTTTATAAAATATTATTGTTGGCTTTTTAAGTAATATAACTATACCCGGAAAAGGTTTTTTAAATTTATGTCCATTAAATTACGATTGGAAACTTACATAAATATTCACTTGCTGGCTGACTGCTGGGACCCAGGACCTTGAAGACTCTCTGAAATAGTTTTGATCATTAAGTTGAATTTTCAGATAAAGAACAAAAAATACATATTTCTCTCCTCTTTCGTTTAAAATTTTTTTCAAAAAAAACAAAATTTGCGTATCAAACTTGCTTTAGTATTGAAAAGGACCGATAAAACCTTTACGTGTACCGCCAACTCCGCATCCATCCCTACAACTCTTATAAGGCCGATGATACAAAATGGAGATGAAGATCCAGTTTTGAAGGAAAAGGTTTTAGTTTTTTATAAAATTCTTAAAACCTTAATTAGCATCCTTCTAAATAAATAGGTGTCGTAAATGATATATATTGTTTTTTTTATATATACTTGAAATGTCAATCATTTCAAATTGGCTTTTAAATATATATTTTTTACCAAGAAATTATTATTTTTTTTTGTAAAAAACTGATGAAACCATTTTTTTTTTGATTATTAGTTGTTTTTTTCGATATTGAAAGTTGTAAAACCAATATTTTGACTGAAATAAAAAGTTACAATTTAATAGTCTACAAATTAAGTATTATTGACGTTTCGGGTTATTTAGATTTTAAATTTTCATTAAGTTATATTTTTTTTGTATTTTGGATCTTGGCCAGTTTATTTTTTTTTTCCTTTATATTGTTAGCGTTTTCTACTTTTCTGATTTTGTTTCCAATAGGTTTAAGAAAAAATAAAAATAGGTTGGCTAATTTTATTTTTAAAATTAAATTAGAAATAACACCTTGTTTTTATCATAAATGGCAATTAAAAATCGGATTTTATAAAATGGTAAAAATAAAAATTTATTCCGTTTTAACCTCATTTTGACTTCCGACTCCCTTTTAAAAGGGGTCTTTCCGGTTCCTAGATTTAGCTCGTTTTCTTGTTCCAAGCTCAAATAATTACGTGAGAATTTTATATAAATTTGATTTTAATTCATTTTACATCACATGTTATTACAAAAATAAATAAATAAAAGATTGTATTAGATATTCTTGGCGAGTCATTTGAAAAATCGAACGGTGGCACGTCACCAAGCTTAAAACCAGGCCCGAGCTCGTTTAAACAACGCATTTCTTCCCCCAAGTTCCGTTTTGCTTATTTATGACCAGGGATGCGAACCCGACAAAATTTTTGCCCGGGTTCCGTTCGGGGTATAAAAAAAAGGTGCGGTTCGAGTTCGGTTCAGGGAAATATTTTTGAACCCGGGTTTGGTTCGGGTTCGGTTCGGGTTCAAGAATTTTTGAGTTGATAAAAAAAATTCTATATTTAAATCATAATAAAAAACTAGACATAAATTTGATATAAAAAATAAATTTTTTATTTTATTTATAGGCAAATATAGTTAAAAATACAAAGCATATAGTCATGTATCAATTTTAAAAATTTTATTTAGACGTATTAGCATAATATCTTCCAAGAGTTGTTCACTCATCCTCGATCTATGTGGTGAAAGAATGAATTTCAAATGTGAAAAAGATCTTTCAACGCTAACCTATGTTAAATGTATTTATATGTGAAAATATGATAAATTAACTTGGGTTGCAGGAACAGCAAATAAGATTTTAGATAAAATATATAATTCAGGGTGTTCCAGCTTAGCAGACTCCCAAAAATGCAAAATATTTTCCTTCTTATCTAATCTTTTATAATCGCTAAATCCAGTAATTATTGTTCCAATACTTTTCTCAGCAATCGTTGGCCCTCTTTTAAGTATTTTCTCCTGCCTTTCTTTAAGTTGTATCAATTTCTCTAAATCATCTTCTTGTTCAATAACTTCATCGGAACTAATATCATCAGATAAAATCGGCGTTGTTAAGCTTTTAATTCGTCTCCATAAATTGACAAGATGCCTTTTCGCACAAATCTTATCATCATCACTAAGTAATACCTGTAATATTTAAGGATTTATATTGTTTATATTTAAATATTCCATAAAATAACAATTTTAATATAAATCTAAAATAATTAATTTACTAAGCTTTTAATTAACCTTGTATCTTGGGTCCAGGTATATGGCAGCTAAGAGAATTTCGTTCTTTATAAACCTTTCTTCTCTGTTCTTAAGACAAGAATATAGTAATTGAGCAAAATGGTTTGGATTTTTTTCCAGTTCGATGCAGCATCTTAACCATGCTGCATAAAAATCTGTCAGTGTTAACTGTTCAGATTGGAATTGTTTGGTTGCGATTTTTAGCGGTTTTAAAATTTCAACAATCGTTATTATCTCTTTCCAATCTTCAGTCAATAAATAATCAGATTGCTCTGAAAAAAAATCTTCGATATTGGGTTTTAGTAAAATCAGACTTTCTAACATATCATGGGTTGAATGCCATCTGTGGCAATCTAATACAGGCTTAGGGAGTTTCATATTTTTTAATAACTTTTGGTAAGTGGGATGTCTTAATTTTAAATTTAGGCTCCTAGCTTTTGCAATGGTTTCCACAATAGGTGATAATTTTATAGCATCTTGAAGTGTCAGCTGAAGTGTGTGAGCTGCACACCGTACACTACAAATCGGATAGGATATAATAGTTGATAAAAAAGTATTTTTTATATCATCAATATCATATTTATATACATTTACATCCATATTTTCCTCATCTGCTGATTCACTCCTTATATCATAATCAGTTTCAGGTTGCAGGAGCTTTATAGCTCTTAAAAAATTACAACCATTATCAGAAGTAATTGTGTATATTTGTTCAATATTAATTTTAAATTTTAGTAAAGTTTTTAATATATTCTCTTTTATATATTCTCCTGTACATCTCTCTTTCAGCTCTACAATTCCAAGAGTCCTCAAATTTATAATGGACTTTGATATAAATTGAATATTTACACCAAGAATTGACCTATCTAGTCGTTAACTGCATCAACTTTTAAACTTATTAATTTTCCTTCTACCTCTCTCGATATTTTGTCTCAAATTGATTGGGCTGTTTTATTAATAGTTCTGGATAAATTTTCTTTGTTTATAACTAAATTGAGCCCAGATAGGAGTGGTATAATTCTTTGAAATCCCGAATCTTCAATAATTGATAAAGGCCGGCCATTTACAGTAACAAGTTCTAGTATAGAACTCATCAAATCATTAGATGATATATTTATACTTATATGCTTTTTTGGAAAAAAGGTTTCTATATTAATTTTAGGTTTTTTTGCCAATAACAATTCCTGATATTTGGTTTTTTCATTTAAATAATTTAAATATTCATTGTTGTGATTTCTTTCCAGGTGTCTTTCTAAATTTGACAAGTGATTACCAGACATTTTTACTTTGCAATATGAACATATTGATTTTTTTTCTATTGTATTAAGGGTAAAATGCTTATCAAATATGACTATCTTTAATCTAAAATCTATAAATAGAGAACAATTTTTTTAAATAGCAATGATTTCAGAATTAAAAAAGAGATATTTATAAATTTAATTTCATTTATAATATGCACTTCATTAATATCTTGTAAAAATTAATCTGAACCAAAAATAAATGATTAGCATATATAAATTTTAAAATCATTTTAATAAGTTCACAAAAACTGCCCTACATTTAACAATTTTTAAGTTAGATGTTTAGAATTTTTTAAATTAACAATATAATAATTTTTACTTTGATTTGTTAACCATTTTCTTCTAATTAATAATCTTTAAGAATAATAAGATAAAAATTTAAAAATAAATGGCGTAAATTAATTCAATTGTTTAAAATTTTTTAACACTCCAATAGGAATCGAGAATAAATTTAAAAATGGCATAAATGAATTAAGTTGTTTAAAATTTATTAACACTTCATTTAATTGGAAATTTGAAAATATAATATTTGTATTTACATATATTAATATATGATTTTAAATAATACACTGAACCCGGTTGAACCCGGGTTCAAATAAAATTCTTGGGTTCGGTTCGGGGTTTTGAAAATTTTATAAATGGGGTTCAGGTTCGGTTCGGGTTCAGAGTTTTTTTCTAAAACCCGGGTTCACTTCTCCGGGTTCGGTTCGAATCCCTGTTTATGACCATGTTTTATATTTCGGGGTTCTGGAACTCGGTTCTGGGTGCAAGGATTTGAAATTTTTTTTTATCCGACATTTTTTGCGAAGAGGGACCACCTACTTTTTGACCCCACTATATTTATGGACCGGGGAGTGTTTAGACCCATTTTTTAAAAATCTGGGTTAGATATTAACTTTGTTAACAAAATAAAAAAAATATCTACAAAATACAAATCAATTTATGATTATAATAGGCAAAAATATTCTTCATTTTTGATTTTCAGGTTTACCCAGATTGACCATTTTTCCCTCTAATGTTGTAATTAGGAAATTTTATAGCAAGAGTTTTATAATCGGATGCCCTATTGAAGACAAAAATATAATTTTATAAAATTTATTTGTAAATTAAATTTTCACAATATGAATATAATTTAACTTTAATTTTATTTTCCTTGAGAGGTATAAACGTAAGAAACCTTTGTGTTCCGGGAATGCGTTTAGCCTTTTGAAACCTTGTTTCAAGATATTTTTTCCATATTTCATGGTCGTTTACAAGCGCGTAATTAACTCTTGTGATATTTGTTATTCAAAATTAAATAAATCTAAAGTATTCAATATCTGGTTCTCTAAAGGCCACTAGTAGACTCTTGATAATTCTTCCCAAACTATAACAAGCACTTTTACCAGGAGTTGTTGCGAAAAAATTGTCATTCTGTATGATTTCGAAATCGAGTTCATGATGGCAAAGATTATGGATTTTTTTTAAAAAATTTTTTATATTGCGCTACTGCGTCATCAGAAAATATAAATATTTTTTGAAATTTGGATTCATGAAAATTAATCATCTTAGTTTGCAATAAATAAACGGCATCATCCGTTGTGTTGTAGAACATGATGACAGCATCACATAGTTAATATGTTTGTTCATATTATTTTCGCGATAATACATCATAAGGGGATGGAGAGTAGTCCGGTTATTATTCCAGTGGAATCGCAGAACCTGATCTTGCACCACAATAGCATATACTAAAAAATCACTAACATTTAAACTTGATTTTAATTAATTATGAAATGCTGACTGTTGCGAAGATATATGATATCATCATAAATGTGGGATTAACGTGTTTAATTTTTCGAAAAATAAGTCTATAAATTCGGATGTCGACTTGCAAAATGTGTCAAGAGGTCGTTCGAGAAGCAGATAACCATTGTTTGAAGGTTATATAATCAATTGCACTTTTGTCTAATGATATCTCAAACATTTCTCTTAGATCGAGGAAACTGGCGAAATTTACATTTTCTAAAGTGACAATTAGGAATTGCACGATTACAGAGAGATGGTGCAGCAATAGAATCATGATAATCTTTAATGGGGAGTATATCATTAGACTTTAATTGGGCATTACCTTGTTCAGCATTAATTTAGAATTTTGATGAATAGTGTATGTGCATTTCTCATGGGTATAAGCAAATTTATCAAAGTCCACTTTTATGTCTCCTTGTGTTTCTTAATTAGAATATAATTCCTTAAGATTGCATAAAATGAATCTTTTCTGCAATTAAATACTACTACTCATCCCCATAGAAGATCCCAGACCTCCCCAACTCCATTCATCGATTTGAATTATTCGATCATTCATTTTTCCTTCCCAATAATAGCACCCAAAATCATTCATTCCAACGTTCATTACTTCCGTTCTCGCCTATTCCCTTTCCCACTTTGCTTGTGTGGATACTGTTGGAATAGAGGTGGGCTCTTGAATATCCGGAATATCTTCTGATCTAGAGTTTGAATCAATCCATTGGGGCACTGCACTGCTTGAACTTGTGCCCAATTCCCCCACAAGAAAGATATTGGACGTTGGCAGCGAGCATGAGCTATCATGTTCTACATATTATTATCCCTCAAACCTGTAATAAATAGGGATTGCCCTGGACTCTTGATAAAATAAAGGCTCTTGGGTATGTCAGAAATTCGTTGTTGCACCAACTATTTTTCCATCCAGGAATCCACTAATGAACTCCTCAGATTGGACTGATTCACTTGGATCATGATATGTGGCATGTATATACACTGTGGTCAAAAGAATTACTTAATAACTAATTCTAGTCACAAAGATTTTTTTTTTTTAAATAAATATTTTTCTTACTTCCGCTCCTTTTACACCCTTCTCCCCCCCTTTTTTAAAATTAAAATAATTTTTTTCTCATTGAAATTAGGCGAACAATTAATTACATTTCTCACATATAAATATTATTCTAATTTTGATTAATGCCTAACCTATTTACTAATTAGGCCCTTTTCTTAATATACACTATCCTTGATACACATGGTATTTCACACTGATATTATTTTTCGTTAAACTTTTATTTTTTTTTGGTACACTTTACCATTTATTTCACACTCTTAAATGATATACATTAAATAATTAAAATCATTTGTAAAAATAATAAATAGTTGTCATATATTATCAATGAATGTATAATATTAAATAGGTAACTCATTCATCTCTCCTTTTACATACTCGTTTTTAATTAACACACCCATGATTTCAATTATTGGAATGCGCTGATTCAATTTTTTCCTAAAATTTAAACCGTACTTTACTTTAGTGCTAAAATAATAACCTCTATATCTTAATAACAATTACAATAAATCTCCCCCCCCCCTCCTTATCAGAAAATTTAAGCCTGAAGGCCATAATAAAAATTTAACAAGGGATCATATTGAAAAGAATTAAGATATCAGTGCTAAGTTTCTAATCATTTTTGAAATTTTATGGGTTCTACTGTGATAATTTTGTTTGGGGAAAAGGAGATATAAAAAGTTGTTGAAGATATTTTTTTTACCAGATGTTAAAACAAAATAAAATGATCTTATTATATTTTTATTTTAATCATACTTAAACATTAATTTATGTCAGAGACCTGCAGGCCCGGGTACCAGGGTCGGGCCGTATTTTAAAATATACTCGGGCTGGGTCTAAAAAAAATTTTTTTTTTTAATTCCTGGGCTGGGCCGTAAAATTTTTAAAAAAAATTTATACAACATGTATTATATTATATTCGTCAATTAGATATGGTTATATTGATTATATATAGTTATGATTAATATAATGTTGGGTGAAAGTTAACTAGCTAACACTCATAGTATCTATTACATAATATAATTATAGTTTTCCTGCCAAGGAATAAATACGCAAAGGATTAAATACTTTATTATATAATATATGTTATATTTTTTATTAAATAAAATATCAGTTTTATTTTTTTTTTATAAATACAATACAGTATATTCTCAAAATATTATTTACACAAATTTTTATAGTATCAATTTGTAATATACTAAATATCTGTTTAGAATTAAAAAATATATAAAAAATGTAAATATGCTTTATTAAATGATTATACTGGCCAAAAAATATGATAAAATACCAAATAGGTGAATTTTTTTAGTGTTGTTAAACGGCTCATTTTGAACCGATTTTTAAAAACGGCTAACTCAGTTTTTTGTCCAGAAAAGTATTACGCAAGCCTGAAAATTTTGCTCATAGAAGGAGCAAAGGTCTAGACATATAGTATGAAAATTTCGAGGCTTAGTCGATATTTTTCTGGCGAAAATATTGAGTTGGCTGTTTTTAAAAATTTGCTCAAAATGAGTCGTTTAACAAATAACCAGATCGAATATCATTTTAAAAAATTCCGGGCTGGGCCCCAAATTTTTTTTTAAGTATCCGGGCCTGGCCATGCCTATGGTACCTATGCAGGTCTCTGATTTATGTTAAACAACTAATGAACCATTTTTTTTTAAAAAAAATGCCGCACTTTTGTAATTTAAAAAAAATAAATTATAAACTATATATTTATATAAATGAATAATTTTATATAAAAAACATATTTACAATTATATCACATATCACATAATTTAATATTTTTTGCATATTTAATTTAATACTAATTTTTTTTTCGATTTTTTAATATAGATTATATACTTTCACATAACTCTATTAACTCCTTTATTCCCAATTACTTCAAATGTAAATTATTCTTTGCTCATCTCACATGAGAATGAGATGCAAATTATCAATCATTTTCACAAATAATAATTTTTTAGTTACCATAAATGAAAATACAAATCCTCAAGTATCATTATTCCTAAACCCAAAAGAACATACCATTGTTGGAACAAAGAAAGAATTGACATGGTAATGAAAATTTTAGCTATGCCCGAGGAGGAACAAATGAAAATTAAGAAGATAGCGAAACTTATTAATATGTCGAAGGCCTCGATTCATAAAATAACTGGATACATTCTCATAAATTATTGGTGAGCCCTTAAAAGAATTCACTCTTAAACAAAGAGGAAGAAAAATAAAAGACACATCAAACATTCTAAGGCAAATTATGGGCACTAATGGCCAATAATACCTTCACAGTTAAGAGTATAATTGAGAATTTGCCTTCTGGTTCACCAAAAAATATTGGAACCATAAGGAATTATATCAAAAATCTTCGATGGTCCAAAAAAAGAGCTGGGGAAGAACCGGATAGCAGGAATACACTGGGAGCTATTAATATTCTACAGGTGTATTGCCGCAAATTGCTGAACATCTCCAGAGAAAGATTCTATTTTCTCGACGAAACAGGCATCAATTTTCATGTTGTACCTGTCTATGCTTGGGCACCACTTAATGTGAGACCAACAATAAAGGTTCCACCCTCAAAAGGGAAATATGCAAGTGTACTTTGGACTATAGGAATTTGTGGAGTTATACATTATAAAATCATCGAAGGATCATATAATGGTATATTATTCCGAAATTCGTTAATCACCAGATGCCATCTTAGTTATGGATAATGCTTCTATACATAAAAGTCATCTAATTGATGCCTTAAAAGAGAGAATAGAGTATCTCCCCCCATATTCACCGCAAATGAACCCAATTGAAAATTTTTTCAGGGTCTTCAAAACCAAATATAGGTCATTAATTCCTAGACCAAGCACAAGGGAGCCTATAATAAACAATATAATTCAAATTATGCTTCAATTTATTCCATATGATTTTACAATTTTTCAACACTCTATGGACTTATATTTGGTTTTGAAGACCCCTAAAAAATTTTCAATTGGGTTCATTTGTGGTGAATATGGGGGGAGATAATCTATTCTCTCTTTATAGGCATCAATTAGATGACTTTTATGTATAGAAGCATCATCCATAACTAAGATGGCATCTGGTGATTAACGAATTTCGGAATAATATACCATTATATGATCCTTCGATGATTTTATAATGTATAACTCCACAAATTCCTATAGTCCAAAGTACACTTGCATATTTCCCTTTTGAGGGTGGAACCTTTATTGTTGGTCTCACATTGAGTGGTGCCCAAGCATAGACAGGTACAACATGAAAATTGATGCCTGTTTCGTCGAGAAAATAGAATCTTTCTCTGGAGATGTTCAGCAATTTGCGGCAATACACCTGCCGAATATTGATAGCTCCTGGTGTATTCCTGCGATCCGGTTCTTTCCAAGCTCTTTTTTTGGACCATCGGATGTTTTTAATATATTTCCTTATGGTTCCAATATTTTTCGGCGAACCAGAAGGCAAATTCTCAATTATTTCCTTTAACTGTGAAGGTATTATTGGCCATTAACAGGTCCATAATTTGCCTTTCAATGTTTGATGTGTCTTTTATTTTTCTCCCTCTTTGTTTAAGAGTTAATTCTTTTAAGGGCTCACCAATAATTTCTGGGAATGAATCCCGTTTTATTTATGGATCGAGGCCTTCGACATATTAACAGATTTCGCTATCTCCTTAATCTCTGGCATAGCTAAAATTTTCATTACCATGCCAATTTTTTCTTTGTTCCAACAATGGTATGTTCTTTTGGGTTTAGGAATAATGAGGATACTTGAGGATTTCTGTTTTCATTAATGGTAGCTAAAGAATTATTATTTGTTGAAATGTTAGAATATGATTGATAATCTCCATCTCATTCTCATCTGAGATGGGCAAAGAATAATTTACATTTGAAGTAATTGGGAATAAAGGAGAGTTATGAGACTTATGTCATGGTATTATAATCTATATATTAAACATCGAAAAAGAAATTAATATTAAATTAAATATGCAAAAATATTAAATTAAATGATATGTAAAATTATTCATTTATAAATATAGGTTAAATATATAAGATTATTTTGTTTATAACAACTTGTAAAAATATCCCCTTTTCACTATAACTTGATATTTTAATTTGAAAAGTTGAAGTATTAGATATTTAAATTACAATTGTTTTAAAAGGAAGAAAATGTAAAAGATAAAGCAGCATATGTGTTGTGAAGGTTAGAATTTAAAATAAAATAAATAAACATAAAAGAGGGTATTAATTTCAAGATAAAGGTAAATATTTTGGAACTACTTAAAATGTAAGGTTTAAATATTAGGCAATATTTTTCCGGCAATAGAATTGAGTTGGTGCATATATTTGAAAATGCGTGGGTCATTATAAGAAGAATATTAAAAGAAAGGGAATGGAACACGTGTCATTTAGAACAGTGGTGTGAAATATATACCGAACATAAATCAAAGTTTAACGAAAATTTAATAACATTAGATTGTGGAATGCCACGTGAATCAAGGATAGTGTATTTTGGGAAAGGGGGTAATTAGTAAATATTCGACATTAATATAAAGTTAGAAATAAATATTATTTTCAATAAAAAAAATCATTGTCATTTGAATACTAGGAAAGAAAGGGTATAAAAGAAGTAAAATAAGAGGAATATAGTTTGTTATGTGTGTTAAATTAGAATTAGCGAAATTGTACCCAATGATATATAATACTTACCTACATGTTTTTTTAGCGTTGTTGAATATAAATCAACTGTTAACACTCCATTTTGGTTTCCCAGATAATTTTTATTATTATAAATATAAATGACACTGATAGTTTTTATAAAATTTTAATGTAAATTATTATCTATATGGTCAATTAAAATGGCTTTCCACTAGATGACTATCATTTATATTCACATTTAAATGAATGAATTTTAAGTCTAGTTATGCATTATAATATTATTTATTATTACCACACAACCATGCCAAACTCAAATGATCCAAAGTTGGTGTTTAGAATTCCATTATTGTATAACATCATATATATATAATGTTTTACCAAAAAAAATCATCATATAATTTGCTTTAATTTCATAGGCAGATACTAGCTAATGACATGATGGACTCGGTTGATGAGGGATCAAGTACAGTCCTAGACAGTGTGATGCAAGAAGTAGAAGCAGGTTTTTCACTTGAATTGATTTTTTATTAAGTCATTCAAAAAATAAATGTAGATTCAAATTTTATTTTTTTTGGAATATTTTTAAACCTTTATCTCAAAGTTGGCTTGGACAATTGAACCGTTAAATAAGATCAACTATCTAAAGTATATTTGGCCCATCATATTTTTTATTATTTTTGATTAAATATAAATTTATGTTGGCGCGCTTATTTAAGCCGCCTATTTTTCGGCATCTAAAAATGCGTCCAGTCGACGATTAGATTTTTAAAATCTGGCCGCCGATAGTTTTGTCGACGCGAAGATCTACACACACACCTAATAAAGTGAATGAATATTTTATTGAATTTAACCTGTCAATCGTATTTCACCAATCAAAAGCCTAACCCTGCTTTATCTTAAACAGTCTACTAATTATTTATTTTTTAAAAAATGTAAAAGATAAGCCTTCGGAAAAAATCCAACACCCTATCATCGACAAATCAAAGAAATCGAATAAAATTAATAATTTTAGGATGTACAATCACACGGCTATGAGAAAATTCATCAAAAACAATTGTGATATGCCTATCACAGATACGTCATTTCTTATCGGCATGTATAAATAAAATAAATTAGATAAACATCAGTATCTTTTTTTTAATTTATATTTAATACAAATTAATTTAGTTTTTTTTTGTAATTTAAACTAATTATTTAATATCACGTATGGGAGGAAGATGAACCTTGCATTTTCTCCTATATTGCCTGGGATAAGGGTACAGCTAGCCTATGAGCCTTACGATCCGATCGGAAAATTATTTTCAGGGTATCTTAATTTTAAAAATAGGTCCATTCACAAATTATTTCTTTTTATTGGGCTTTTGCGGCGTCAAAAGCTATTAATGTGAGATAATGAACCATTTAAAAATAAATTTGAGGTCTGAACTTGGTCCGCATATAAATTTTAAATTCGAGGTTCAAGTCTGATATGCCATCATCGGTCTGTGCTAAGCTATAATTATATATCATTAAATATTATCAAACAATGGATATGCTTTTTTAAAATTTTTCTCTTCTAGGTGGTAGGGAACTGATCTGGGTAATGATTTTTAAAAAAATATTTAGTTAACACGTTATACAATCATCAACCTGATAATTCATTCCTTTCATCGACGGTTTTCAATATTATTTATTAAGATATTTTTGAATTTTTTTTACTCGAATAAATTTTGGGATTTTTCTTTATTCTTCTCACTCTATTCAAACTGTGAGAGGACAGATCACTTAATCTTTCGTTTGTCATAGCTGAGCATAATCATGTTTATATGACGCGTCTAGAAAAAAACGCTCTTTCTATAAGTGTTTTGTTGTTGGTTAAAGAATTATGACATATTTTTGTAAGGTTGGCGATAATTATGATTTTTTTTTATATAAAAATTATTTATTTAATTTGAATCAAATTTTAAAATATAATTATTTTATAAATACATAATACATGCTTTGGGTGAAGAGGGAAATAACTTCTAAAAAATAAAATTTTAGTTTAACATATATTATTTCATTGTATAAAATATTTGCTTATCTTTATAAAATTTAACGAATAAACTACTGTTGAAGCCATTTACACGCATTTTAAATTAAATCAAAAAAAAAATAACTATTTTAATTTCAATTTATTAACTTATTTTTAAAAATCAAATATTTAAGGATATTCTAATTAAGGGAAAAAAATTAACAAAAATTATCCCTTTAAACCCGCTCATGATCGAAGCAATAATCTGATGTTTGTTTTCTATGAGTCCCTTGGATTGATTTTTTTTTTAAATTTATTTACGATTAATTTTTCGAAATCGTTTATAAACACGATAAATATTTACATTTTTTTTTAAAAAACAAAAGGTACAAAGAATGCATCTCCGCCAACGTTAAAAAACTTAAAAAAATTAGGTATTCCTTTCCGATTATAAGCAAAAAAATTGATCACGACCATCTAGAGATTTTGATGGAGAAGATGTAATAAATATTAACTTTTGTATGATTGGCTTAGAAAAATTAATTAATAAATGAGGCACAACCTTAATAATTTATAATGGATGGATCTTGGGCAAATATTTGAAAGATTTATATTTAATTTTTTTTTAAAGGCTCTGTTGTCCTAAATATATAGAGAAAAAAATCTCAAATTAAAAAACGCGTTACGAAATCTTCCATTTATTTTATTTTAAAAAAGGTTTTGTAAAAATTAAAATAAAACGAGAATAAAATATTAAAAATAACAATGCCGTAAAATTACTTACTAGTTTTTTTCTCAAAAATTACACAAATATATAAATTTTGAGCAAAATTTATTTATTTCAATTATTTTAAAAAATGACAACTTTTTGTAACTGATGAAGAATGATTTAGAACACTATCTTAATTTTACATTAAAAATTGCTTTTTTAAATTTATTTTTCTACAAAATAATAAATTTATTCATATTTTTGATATTTAGGACACAGCCTAAACAAAAAAGATTAAGGAAGGATAAAAAAAAACCAATTCATTATTCTGTTGTGAGAAACAGTTTGCTTAAAATGAATTTTTTTAGAGAAGCCAAAGCTGGAATCTGCTTAAATAATCAAATGTTACATATTAGAGATTGGCAACTGACTAATGACAATTTTTTCGGTGCCACCATTGATAGTCTTTTATAAAGAAAAAATAATTCATTGGAAAAATTTTGACTAGTAAAAAAAAATATTTTGCCTACTTTTCACTATTTTGCACGACTGTTTTTTTTAGTAAAGGATCACTCATCGTAATTGAATCATGTTTTAACCTGTTACTAATGTTTTTAAACGCTAATACAATATTTTATCCAAAGAAATAAGGCAAGCTTCGAGATTTTGTTAATAGGTGTTCCAACCATCTCTAGGCTTGCGTATCATTTTTGGCTAAAATATTGGGTTAGCATTTTTAAAAATCGATCAATTTAACAACACTACCTATAGCGTATATTTATTTATTTTTAAAAAAAACAATTTATTATATTTAAGATGTCTTCTTTCGAGTAAGGATCCAAAGTTCCTTCAACTTACGGACAAATTACTTAGTACTCCCAGGAAAAACAGACTTATAAAATATTTGAAGGATAAGAGTTTATAATCAAATTTATTTATGTAATATTTATTAATACATTTCGAATTATGTAATTACTATTGTATTTCACGAATTATATAAATAAAAATATTAAATATAATATCACAGTTATGTAACATTGCTAAACAAAAGATCATGATATAAATATAAATTAAAGTACATATATATATATAAGAAAAACAGAATTAGATTAGAAAAAAAATAGTTAAGAGATGAAGCTTAAATAATTTTAATCGAATAATTATGGCAAGCCCTTTGTCAAATATAGTAACTTTTTGGGATTTATCAGTAATACATTTGCCAATCTCTCTCATTAGTTTAAGTGCTTTTGTAACAGTGTGACGAAGCATCAATAGAAGCAAGGGAAGCATTTCGTCTCCTGAAATTTTTCTTTACATGAGCAAAACAAATTTATTATTGCTTATTTTTAAAAAATAAATGTTTTAAAAAAGTCAAGCTCATATACAATATATTTTTAGTATAATTTTTTTATTACTTTAAAAAAAATGATTAGGGAACCAAATATAAAATTGCTTATATTTTTTAAAATAAAAGAAAAATTATCCGGATGTTTTGTATAATTTAATGTTAAATAAGCGTTGGGGAAGCAAATAAAGAAATGCTTACTTTTTTTAATTAAAAGAGGAAGAAAAAAAATTTATATTAAAAAAAAAAGTTCTTCTCTTTTGAAAGTACACTGATTAATTTAAGAAGTTTATTAATTCCAATTGTATTATCTAACAATATCATTTAACCCCATAAATTTTGATGTGAAGAAATTGATTATTCAAAAGGAAAGACCAAAACCAATTTTACAAAACTTGAAAAAAAAGAAATGATTACTTGCATTCATAATTTTTCTATCAATAAATTAGAGTGGCTCACTGTGTTGGTCATGCCTATTATTCCCAAATGAATTTTTTTTTTTAAATGATAAAGGGTTTTTGGATATGAATAATTTTGAAGGCAGTTAAACGACATAAATATAATTACCCTCATTCACTGTCGATGGATGATTCAATTAAAATTATTTGGCCAAAATCGAATTGAAAATATGATAAAATCTATACGAAAAATGTCAATTGAAATTTTACACAAAGAATTTTTTCCTCTTATTTATAAATCTTATTTTTTTTTAATTTGTTGACTAATAAAAATTAAAAATATTTTTCAATTGCTTCCCTATAAGTAAACTTGACTCTTCATCAGTGTTTTGTTCCAAACATCGTGAGGGTAGACACAATGAAAGGCATGAAATCTATAAATTAATATATCTCTTGGTTTTTTGAAATATCATTTGCTAAGCGTGGTCTTTATTTGTATAAGATGGGGAAATGGGTTGATAAACAAAAATTTCTAAAATAAGAATTGATCTCTTATCCATAATATTAAGATTACAATGCTAGGGCGTTTTTCATCTGTAATGAGGTGCCCATTAGACTTATGGAGGAAATTCCTGGAGAAATTAAAACTGTTTGAGAGATTCGTTGTATTGAAAATGAGGGAAGATTGGTAATGGTTAAGTTTGTCTTTGGTGTTGATGTATGCTCGACATAGTTTGTGTGATGCCAAAATTTTAGAGTTGCCAATTTCTTCATCGGACAATAAGGTCGAAATTCGTAGCCATTGCCATGTTCAAATGATAAAAATAAATGCATCAAGCTGCTTAAAGGTTATATTAGGGATTTTCTACGGAGCTTTATATATGGAGGGTATTCCAATCATTTTGGCCAACAGGACGTGGAATTTTAAGTTGGGTAATCCCATATTGTTCGTTGTTTTATCAAGTTTGATTATTTGCGGGCAAGTCATGAAGTTACGAATCCAATTATTTAAGGATCATTATAGAAAACACCCTTCGATTTTGCATGACACCTATTTCGAAGAACTTTCGTTGAATTTTAAATTAGTGATTCCACCGAAAGGAACGTATTTTTATTTTCATAAATTTTCAGTGCCTCTGTGAATTTGAAGAAGGCAATAGGCCTGATTTTAAGGGTGTTATAAAAAAATAAAGATAAAATAAAATTGAAGCGCTGGCAGAAAATATTATATTTCTTCGATTAAAAATCTGCAATAAATGGAGATAAATCATAATTTCCTATTCTGCGGCGATAATTTCTAATTATTTTAATAATAATGGTATTACTTTCATAAATTTTAAACTAATAACTTTAATTATTAATGATTTACTACCAATTATTGTGTAAAAGAAAATTTTTAGAACATGAATTCAAAAGCCCCTCATTACAATGAATGCAGAATAATAAATTATTGTATGGCAAGATTTACTGATAGAATGTCAAACCCATTTAAATTACATATAAAAGTATAGCACAGAATTATCTAGATATAACCTTATTTGAAAAAAAACGTCTATGATTTTATGCAATATATAGAACGGGTTAATCTTTAACAATATCATTTTATTATAATAAATTTATTACAGAGTTGTAAAATGATACTTTTTAAACGGATCGAATAAAATACATCCTCTAAAAATGGATACAGATAGATTATCTAAAAATATATATAATTATATAGATACAATTTTATAAATATTTCGTGGAATTCGGACACCAAAATTTTCATTAAACAAGCATATATTTATTAACTTCCCCAATGCTTATTTTTAAAACGTAAAATTACACAATTCGCATGATTTTCCTTTATTTATTAAGCAATATTAAATTTGCTTCTCTCATGCATATTTTTTTAACATATTAAATATAATGGTAAATCTTTATAAGTAAATATAATAGTAATTTTTTTAACCTAGTAAAAATAATAGTAATTCTTGTTATTATAGTTTAAATAATAATAATTGTTTTAACGTTATAAAATTATTTTTTTTAACGAAGTCAGAATAGTTTTTTTAAACATATTATAAAGATTATATTAAGTTTATTTATAAATTCTGTGGGAAAAATTTCAAGGGAAGCCATGCTTCGTCACTGGTAAACTAGACAATTGATATCCTATCCACTTATAAAAGTAGCATCATTATCATGATGTTACTCCTGATGTAAAGATGTTTAGTAATATAACATGGTAACCGAGGATTTTGATTTGATTCATATTATAAAAAATAACTCTTTTACATTCAATTGGGTATTAGTATTAATTATAAATAAAGTTTTTTTTAAATATAAATTATTTATTATTAAAAATTGGAAATTCATAGATTTTATGCTGAAAATATTAAATTGAAGAAATATATCTCAGAAATTTAGTTAAATTAATCTAAGAAATTAATAGTAAGTATAAAAAAAATTTCAAATAAAGTTTGAAGGCTTTTGGCTTTCTATAATCAAATAAATATTTTAATTGATTGATTTCAAAGAATTTAAACTACGAATATTTAATATTATAAATCTTGATTTTATTAGAATTTCTTGCGCATTTATATATAAATCTCAACTAAGAATAATTAAATAATTTACATTATGAAATGTATCGAAATAATTTATTTAGAACTATCAATATTCATTTAATTTAAATGTTCCAAATAAGCGACGATTTAGGATAATAAATTAAATTGATATGAATATGATAATAAATTAAATTGGTATGAATATGATAATGTATAATATTCTAAAATATTCCTTATATATAATAATTTTATTCAATGTATAATTTTCTAGTGGCTATACTTGCTAAACAGACACTATTAGTAATTAAAATGATGGCAGTAAATTTTATAAATTTTACACCTGGATATAACTATTATTTTTCTCACAGGTAAATTTAAATATGAATATACCTTAATTTATAAAAATATACCTCATAAATTGAAAATCTGATTATTAATTGAAATTTCCATTATAATATTCCTTCTATCATTAAAATTTAATAGAAACTAAATTCAAGTGTGAAAAATATGGTTTTATATCTGAGAGAGCATCTAGGAAAAAGTATCGCTTCTCGGCCTCTTGGCTAAGATCAAAGTGTAGTATCTGTTCTTATCAGCTTAATGTCTGGTACGTCCCCTAATGGGGACCAGTATATTAAACTCATTTTTGGAAGTTTTGGAGAGGTGCTCTGGGCTTGCCTATCCCTCTCCTAAGGGTCAACCTGGTATTGCAGTACATCTAGGAGTGGCCCAAACAATTAAAAAACTAATTTAGAGTTTTTAAAAATTTCTAAATTTAATATTGCTCTCATTAATGTAATAATTTTAAAAATATTTATCCCAATAATAGCTAATTATTTTTATTTAACTATTTATTTATAATTTTCACAGTACCACATGTGTTAAATAAAATATTTGTTTTGTTTGTATTCAATTTTAAATATCATTATTGGAAATATGAATGTAATAATAAAAGTTATATTCTTGTATAAAAATTATGAATAGTAATTAATAATTATGCACTTTGCTTAAAAAAAATTTTAAAAAACTTTATAGAAATTAAATATCATATACATGTGTGTGATAATTTGTTGTAAAATATTTTTTAAATTTTTAACAACTTTCTTCAAAAAAGTTTGACTTGCTATAATTATTGTAAATATTACATATTGATAACATTTTAAAAAATAAATAAATATAGCTTATTAAACAATTTCTTAAGAAAGTTGTTATAAAATATGAAAATGTTTTACAATTATGTTGATACATAAAATATAAATAATTTTTAAATAACTTAATATACCTTAATTTTTAAATGATATTGTATTTTATTTAAATTATATTCTACAAATTTAAGATAATGTATTTTTTAAAATAAAAATCAATACTAATATATTTTCAAGCTATCTCAAAAAATGACTTATTATATATCATTATATAGAATTTTTTTTATTGAGTTGAGATTACAAGACAAAATCATTTACAAATGATTTCCCTAATTTATTTAGACCTAATTAAAAATTTCTTAATCAGTATTTAATTACTTAATTTTCAAGTCTGTTGAAATTATCTTAAATCATATCAATTTGCAGCCTAGCTTGGAATATTTAGTCAATATTTTAAAGGAGTTTTTGAAGAGGTAGATTTCATATTAGTAATTTAAAAAGAATATTCATCTTTTATAAATTGAATAAAAGAATCTAATAATTATTGAAATTTTATTTAATTTAACGTATATATTTTATTGGAATAAGAGTATCGCCTCTGATGGCGATACTCTGAGATTAAATTTTGTTAACTTTCTCTTTATATTTTTTTTATTATTATAAAATTAAATTATCCAAAGTTTATATAAAATGAAAAAAGTGATCTTTACAATTTCGTTAATGCAATAAATATCATCATTTACATAAAAATTAATACATCTGTTAAAATAAATCACTTTATCAAATAAAATATACATTAAAAAAGTGTACATTACAACACGCCACCCATTACTAAACCCAAGTGTTAGGGGTGATTGATAATATATGACCAATAATATACGAAATATAAATACACATCTGACGTTTTTCATTTGCTCCAAACTATATATTTAAACATTCCGCTTATTTTGGTGTCTATAAAATTTTCGCCTAAAATAAATTATCTTGATCGACTTTATATTAAGAATTAAGAAATGCGGCTTTATGTCCATAGGAGGACGCCGTTTGATTCGTCTCACGAATAAGAATAAAGAAATGCGGTTTTTCTTTTTTTTCCAAAGGAGAACGCCGTTTTAGTCGTCTCACGAATAAGAATAAAAATATTATATAATTTCTTCGGCTACAATTTCTTCAAAATTTTCATACACATCTCCCCATTATTATCGGTAAATCCTTTAATATAATTTCGAATATGATTTCGGAAACATTATTTGAATACCCCGGAATAATTTCCTTATATTCTTGAATAATTTTATATAAGGATTTATATTAAATTTTTTTTAGCGAAGTAAACATAACGTATACAATATCTTTACTAAAAAATTGTTTTTATAGGAATTTCATTTCTTTGAAAGAATACCAATGAATAATGTCATAGATAATATAGTAGGTTAGGTAAAGATTTCGAATAATTTGATGCATATATTTTATTCAGCTATTACTTTAATAATAATATTCACTTGAAAACCTCCTCCCAACAAAACAAATATCGAATAAGATCCTTTATGAAAGTCTCTTTTTTTAATATTTATTATTTTATTTTATCTTAATAATATTAATTCCCAATTTTGGAATATTTATCCTTTTTTTATTTTACCTTTATAATATATTAATTCCCAATTTTGGAATATTCATCCCTTTTTTTATTTTACCTTTATATATTAATTCCCAATTTTGAATATTTTTATTTTTATTTTACCTTTATAATATATTAATTTACAATTTTGGAATATTCATCCCTTTTATTTTACCCTTATAATATATTAATTTTCAATTTTGGAATACTCATTTTTTTTATTTTACCTTTATAATATATTAATTTCCAATTTTGGAATATTCATTTTTTTATTTTACCTTTATAATATATTAATTTCCAATTTTGGAATAATTTGCCTATAGTGGCCTTCTCTCAAAGTTGAATATAAATGAGAATATACTGCACCTGAAAGATTGATCATTTCGTCGCATTGATAATATAGTAGGTTATAAAATTGCGAACTGTGACTGCAATAACCCTTATGGAACATTTGTTTTACATGGCACCATTTTCATATTTGTAATTTAAAAAGAATATTCATCTTTTATAAATTGAATAAAAGAATCTAATAATTATTGAAATTTTATTTAATTTAACGTATATATTTTATTGGAATAAGAGTATCGCCTCTGATGGCGATACTCTGAGATTAAATTTTGTTAACTTTCTCTTTATATTTTTTTTATTATTATAAAATTAAATTATCCAAAGTTTATATATAATGAAAAAAGTGATCTTTACAATTTCGTTAATGCAATAAATATCATCATTTACATAAAAATTAATACATCTGTTAAAATAAATCACTTTATCAAATAAAATATACATTAAAAAAGTGTACATTACAACAGTAGATAGTAAGATATAATCCTTATTCTTTAATATATTTAATTATCCAAGTGTGTTTTTAATAATGTATTTTTTTTATAATGTTATTTTTTAAAAATTATATCCTAACAGCTGTTTTTTGTATTAAAGCCTATGACATATATTATTATATGTCAAGCTAATATGCAATTAAGCTCAAAATATATAATAATCAGTTAAAAACAATTTAAAAAACAAATTTAAAACTTATATAAAGGATTGAAAAATAATTTCCTATCAGAGTTTATAACAAGCTCACTCTCAATTAAAACTACTTACAATTACAACACATCATCTAGGAAATAAAAATACACCACTCGCATGCACCATAATTAATTATTCTGATTTCATTTTCAACAAAACCTTATATACCAACATACCAGAAAATAACCATTGCAATGTTTTTGTCTTAGATTCAAAGTACAAACTTCTCAGGTATTAAACTATCTACTCATCATTAGCATGAAGAGTGCTCAAGTCATAAACTTATTAATTTAAAAAAGATGACATCTATACAAACATGGCCCCCAAGCTTCTAATATACTTTGCCCAAACTAACCCTGAATTCATAGTGGCGCGATTGCGATTTAGACGCGATAAATACAAAATACAGTAAATATGATATCGCATTCATAGTTACCGATCGCCGCGATTTTTTCAAAACACAAATCATTTTGTGATTATCGCGAGATTTTCAAATAGTGCTTCGTTAAATACAGATTTTGGTGAATATAGCTCAAAATTTTTGATTTTGCGCTACTTTTAAATTTAGCGCTAATTTTTTATTAATTGAAATGAATTCAATGACAACCTTTTTTGCTGATATAAAGCCAAAGTATCAAGTTAAAATTATGATTTAAATTTAATTTTTTTAGAAAATAGATAAAATAGCTTTTATAGATGCAAATGATATATTTAATGAAATAACAGGAGGTATACATGAATGTAAAATATAGCATTTTAATTGATAAAATATATTTATTATTTAGGTGATCTCATCGATAGTGAGAATATATCAGATGATATATTTATTCCCAAAGATTCTGCAGCACTTAATCTTAGTAATGATTCTGGTAATTAATAATATCTAAAAATTTATATTATCTTTTATATATAATCTATGTCCTGTGTTGGGTCACCTAGTTATTATTATAAATGTCCTAAGAGAAAGAACAATGATATGGGTAATTTATATTTATTGATAAATTTTAAATAGATGACTATAGGAAATTAATGAAAATAAGAAGCAGATAAAGCATTAATAACCTTGGAAATGCTTAAAAGTAAATCAAAAGAACATGCAATATGTTTAATGTTAAAAGAAAAATTAGATGATTGTACCAAAGAGGAAAAAAAAGAAATAACAAATGAAATACTTGATATTATAAAAGATTATTGATTAAAATTATTTTGTATATATTTTTGTTATTTGAAATATATATTTTCTATGTATTTATATTATTTGAAATAAACATTTTGTGAAATACATTGAATGATATAATTATTCCCAAAATTCCTGCATTAATTAAGCCTTGTACTGAGTTTGGTAATTAATGTCTAGATATATATAATTTATAATGAATGATCTTTATCTTAGAGAAAGTTTAATGACATTGGTAATTTATGTTAACTTGCTTTATAAAAATATTTTCAATAGATGAATTTAAAACAACTATATAGCTTTTTTAGTGACATATTCCTACGTATATATTTTATGAGTTTAAACTATATTAATAATAACTTTATTTTTTATTATAATATATATAAAATACAAAACAAGATATTTATAAAAATTATATGATTGTACCAATCAGGAAAAAAAAGAAATAACAACTAGAATACTTGATATTATAAAAGATTATTGTGAATATATTTTTGTTATTTAAAACTATATTAATAATAACTTTATTTTTATTATAATATATATAAAATACAAAACAAGGTATTTATATAAAATACAAAACAAGATATTTATATAACATACAAAATAAGATATGATTAAATTTATAAAAATCAATAATATAGGATTTTTATATAAATATAAGCTTATGGAATGAATCAGAATAGCAGTGTTGATTTAATACTATATGAATCTTATGTTGCTAAATACCTAAATAAAAAATATATTTAAATAATAAATTGCTTTATTTTTACCTTAAACAAACCATAAACTTTTTTTCAACACTTATAGGATGTTTTATAAAATTCGTACATTTGGTATGTAATAAAGGTTTTACAAGTTTGAGTATATAATAAAAGGTTTCCTAAATTAAAATGAATTATAGATAAAATAGAATAAAATTACTTTAGTCATTCTCATATAGTTGAAAAATTAGGCTCATTTTTTAATAGTTTAGGAAAGAAGACATAAAATTCGCCCTCTTTTGTTTTATTAAAAGATAGTAACTTCTCTTCAAGATCATTCTGTAAAAAAATAAAAATTAGAGGATGGATACCATTTTGAATTAATAACGCTTTGCACCGCACTATAATGAAAATCGCAGCGACCGATCACGGCGAAATCGCAATCGCTCTTCACTATGAATTCAGGGTAATATAGAACCCCCAATTAATACCAAACACATGTAAATCTTATCTTATCTAGCACGTTGGTCATAGACCTGCCCAAAATGAGCGAACGTGAATTATGCCGATTTTTTTTCTCAAGGATACCAACAAACCTTGTACCCAGTTGTAGTTTAACTAAATGAGTGGAACTTACCCTTTCCGATATTGTAATAGTAATTTAATAATAAATATCATATAGAAATATATATTTTATCTGTTTTTTAGTCTTGAATAATTATATTCATGATAAAGAGTGAGTTAAGAATATTTGAATCCATAGATATCAAAATTCCATTTCATTTGTTAAGTTATATTCTTCCAAAAGATGAACCGGAAAATCTTCGCCATTAAGGATATTATTCTAAATGTTGCCAAAATGGCGAGTCAATCTGATCTGCTATTTTAATGAATGAACAAATATCAAACACACACACATGTAAATAACAAATTGTCAAGGAAGGTCGATATAAGCACGAGTCGGTTAGTGCATGAAAATACTGAATATATTAGGAATAGGGATGAATAATGATAATTAACAAAATCGGTAATATTAACAAGGAGTAAATAAATAAAAGAAAAATAAATAAATAAATAATAATAAACATTTGTATATATAAAAGGTGATATTTTTTTTTATATTGATATATTTATTTTTTTGATTCATTGTATTGCGTTGAATTGAATAATAAACGGTAAAAGAAATATAAACATATGTATATATAAAAGAAAAATAAACCATATAAAAAGAGAGAAAAGTGATAAAAAGTAAGAAAGTGACACAAACCACTAGAAGAATTTATCTTTATTAAAAAAATACCAACAATAAAACACATCCTATCTGCATTTTAATAAATTATTTGTTAATATTAACAAAGATTTGTCAAATTTAAATTATTGGAATAATCTCTTCACATTCCCTTTCAAATGCCTCTTAATCCCAAAAGAAAACAAATCTATCTCACTACCTAACCTAATAAAAGGCAGACTTAAAAATTTGGAAAATTTAACACTATTAGAATACATTAAAAATCCGAAAAATTCAAATGAAAGTTTCAGTAATACCTGCAACAAAATATCGAAAAAAATAAGTGAAGGCAACATATGCGGTGTACAAAAATTAATCTCACAAACAAAACTCGCCCCATCTAACGGCGTGACCCTTGACAACCTAAAATCCCTTCATCCACATGTCTCTTATACTAGCTTACAACCTGCCGCTCAATACTTTCCCCCCCTTTCATAATTACAAACCAAGATATTCACAAAACAATAGGTGAATTTAATAAATTTTCAGCAGCATCCCGGATGGCTATAGACCATCTTACTTCCAAACATTTCTGATATCTCATAATTCGAATAGTTTTAACTCACATACCACCCTCTAATATAACTACTAAAGATATTGCAACATTCCACATTATTTAATAATATCTATTTAACGTTCAACTTTATTTAATAATATTAACATTCATGTTTATACAATAATAATTATCAAAAAATTATACAAACTACGCTTCGAAAATCCATATAACAATCCCTCCACCTAAAAGTTTCCTTAACAAAAGAAAAAAATGTGATCTTTTTGACAAAAGAACATGTGATCCCCTTCTTTACATTGATCCCCAAGGAAAAATTAAATTAATACCAGAAAATGACTGACATTTAGTATATTATATTAAATTTTTTCTCCTTTTTTTATGGGCTACAACAGATATTATAACATTAGCTCATCAAATATTTTGAGCTAACTTGATTACTTTTGAAAAACATAATAAAAGCATCCGCCCAATCGCAATCGGCTTATTTTTCAGATGCCTGATAGCTAAAATTAATGCAAAAAAAATAAAATCCGATACTCATTCCCTGCTTGGCAAATACCAATTAGGATGCGGAACTAAAGGAGGCTTAGATAAAGCCTCTCGCAGCCTACGAATCTACCTTCAACATCCACCGATAAACTCCGTTTTATGCAAAATCGATTTTAAAAATGCCTACAATACAATATCACGTTCCTCGGCACTTGAATCTTTTTACGATAATTTCCTCCAATACTAGTGCTTCGTAAACATCTGCTATAACAATAGTACTCCCCTCATTTTTAATGGTAGCGTTATATATTCCGATGAGAGATTACAGCAGGGTTGCCCCATCGGCCCTATTCTTATCTGCTTAGCTATCTTCAATATGATGAAAGATCTTAAATATGATTTTGATGCTTGATATATGAATATTTTGACATCTAATTTTTCATAATTATTTTTAATATGACTGTCGGGATTTTAATATATTTATACTAATATAAAGTTGTTATTCATTAAATATAACAACAAACCTGTCACAAGTCCTCGATGATTTTATTATTTGTGTCCGAATTATAATATTTAGATATGATTTGTTCTAATTGATTAGTTCTGATAAATTTATAAGATTATCAGTTTCAAAATATTTATAATATATTTATCAAAATATACTATTTTTGTTATATAAGAAACAATATGATTGTTGTAATATTTTAAATGATTATTTATAATTGTATTAAGATGATAAAATTAATTATTATAATATATATATATATTATGAACCTGTTGTTAGCCATGTATTTTGTTGATTTTTGTGAAAAGAAATACAGTGGCAACAAAGGAAAAGGATTTTTATTCATTAATTGGTTTTTGTAAGAAGAAAATTTTATGATTGGAAAAATTATTGAAGATACGAGAAAAATATTTAATCAATAAAGAGACCAAGAAATTATATAATTAATGGAAATTCTTAAATTATAAAATAGATCAAGAAAATATTTAGTTAACAAAGAATATACCAAGAAAACATTTAATTAATAAAGGTAAGGAGATTTTCAATTTAATTTATTTTCAATTTAATTTTAATTTTCATATTAAATAACTTTTTATTAATTAATTTATTTTCAATTTAATTTTAATTTTCATATTAATTAACTATCATTTTTAATATTAATTAACTTTCATATTTATGATGGAGCCAAATGCATTATATATATCACAAGAGATGGGGCCTAATATTTTAAATTTATATATACATCTATTATTTTGTTATTTTAATTTTTATCTGTTTATAAAAATAAACATAACATTTGAAAAGCAATAAGACTAATAAATTAATCGATAGTTCTTCAATTTTATTTAAATATAAAATTTTAGTTTATTTTTATTTTATATTTTTTTGTCAGCATATATCATTCATTCTCTGATTGATGTGAGGGACATCGTAGGGATTTTAAAAAAATGCTTATTCCTAGATGTTCCCAAAATATTTGAATTTTAAAAAATGCTTAGTTTTACTCCACCGTTCAAAAGAAACAAGAAAGAAAAGGTAAATAAATATATATGTAGAACTCTACACTATATATATAATTAGTGCGAGTCATCATTATTGGATATTAGCGATTTTGATAATTCAATATTAAATCACTTGGATACAAATGTATTAAAAAATCAAAATAAAGTATCATCTCCCATATCTATTAAAAAAAACAAGAAGATTGATCTTAAGCGTGGTAACTTTTTATGGAAAGAAGATATACCACCCACACCTAAACCTATTTTTGAATATATAAATGAAATAATTAAAACTGATATTCAATTAAATTTCAAGGATATCTCTTTTTATGGTTTACCTATTCAAGTGAAATCAATTTTGCAAGAAAATTATAATATAGAAAATTTATATGGTAGATATAATTATTTGTGCTTTTATGCAAGATACATTTTTAGATTGGCAAAAGGATTGCCTAAAATTTGGAAACGATCATAAAGATCAAAATTTAATTTGCCATTTACCTACATCAGGTGGAAAAACTTTAATTGCTGAACTTTTAATGCTAAAAGAGATATTGTGCAATAAGAAAAATGCACTTTTTGTATTACCATACATATCAATTGTACAAGAAAAGGTATATGTTTTATTAAATTAGTATAATTATTCTTTAAAATTTGACCAGGCTAGGCCAACAAATTTGGTCCTACTTGATTTAAAATTTTAACTTTTGAAGGTCTTTATTGGACATATAAATTTTTTATAAAAGTTTAATTACTCCTATATAATTTTTTAAACTTATTTACTAATTCCCACCTTTGACATTTATAATCATTACCAACATTAAATTGAAGCCTCCATGTTATTTAATGCCTGAAAATTATATTGAATTATATAAATTATATTATTTTGGTATTTAACAACTTTTATCAATTTGATATTTTAACTCTCTTGGTGCACAAGTTTGTATATAAAATTTTTATCATATTGTTTTTATAAATAATAATAGAAAAAATAATTAAGTGGTTATTATTAGTGTTATATAATCGGCTAATTTTAACTAACTCCGTTTTGCCTAATTTTTATATAAAAAATTCAAACTAATTATTCAAAAATTAGGCTTGGAATAAAGAGCTTGGCAAAATTAAGCTTGGAATAAGGAGCTTGGCTAATTATCTTATGTAATAAATAAAATGAATTGATAGATTAAGATATTATAAATGGTAAATATACATATTTTAAAATGTAAATTTTATGATTTGATTGCTTATTTATTTGAAGAAAAAAAATATAAATAATGGGCATGACTAAAATACACATCCCCGAAAACTACGCGTCCCTATGCATCCCCGGTCAAACGGGTGTAATTTATATAATATTAATGAAAAATCTTATTTAGCTTTATAAGATGAGTTAAGAAATGTTTTTTATGATTTTTAAAAAAAATGATAACTTAGTATATTTTTTTACATAAAAAAACTACGCGTCCCCGGTCAAGATACATTTTTTTTAAATAAAAGCAGATTCATATTTAGCTCATTAAATGAATATAGAAAATGTTTTTATGATTTAAAAAAAATGATAACGTAAAATTTTTAAAAAATTATTTTTTTAAATTAAAAACTACGCGTCCCCGGTCAAGATACATTTTTTTTTAAAAAATAATAGCAGATTCATATTTAGCTCATTAAATGGATATAGAAAATGTTTTTTTTATTTAAAAAAAAAGTGGTAACTTAGTAAAATTTTAAAATACTAATTTTTTACATCAAAAAACTACGCGTCCCCGGTCAAGATACATTTATTTTTTTTAATAAAAGCAGATTCATATTTAGCTCATTAAATGGATATAGAAAATGTTTTTTATGATTTAAAAAAAAAGGAAACTTAGTAAAATTTAAAAAAAAATTTTTTTTAAATTAAAAACTACGCGTCCCCGGTCAAGATACATTTTTTTTAAAAAAATAAAAGCAGATTCATATTTAGCTCATTAAATGGATATAGAAAATGTTTTTTTTTTGATTTTAAAAAAAAGTGGTAACTTAGTAAAATTTTTAAAATACTAATTTTTTACATAAAAACATTACGCGTCCCCGGTCAAGATACATTTTTTTTTTTTAAATAAAAGCAGATTCATATTTAGCTCATTAAATGGATACAGAAAATGTTTTTTTTTGATTTAAAAAAAAGTGGTAACTTAGTAAAATTTTGAAAAAACACTTTTTTTCATCATTTTTTGACTAAAATACGCGTCACCGGTCAAGATAGATTATTTTTATAAAAATGAATATAGAATCGTGTATAGTTTTTCAAGGAGATTCCGAAAATGGTATTTATAAAAATTTTTTCGAATAATTTTTTTGATTAAACTACGCGTCCCCGGTTAAGATACATTTTTTTTAAAAAATAAAAGCAGATTCATATTTAGCTCATTAAATGGATACAGAAAATGTTTTTTTTTATTTAAAAAAAAGTGGTAACTTAATAAAATTTTGAAAAAACACTTCTTTTTTTTTTCATTTTTTGACTAAAATACGCGTCCCCGGTCAAGATAGATTATTTTTATAAAAATGAATATAGAATCGAAATTATTAATACCATTTTCGGAATCTCCTTAAAAAAATATACACCATTCTATATTCATTTTTATAAAAATAATCTATCTTGACCGGGGACGCTTAGGGACGCGTATTTTAGTCAAAAAATGAAAAAAAAGTGTTTTTTCAAAATTTTACTAAGTTACCACTTTTTTTTAAATAAAAAAAAACATTTTCTGTATCCATTTAATGAGCTAAATATGAATCTGCTTTTATTTTTTTTTAAAAAATGTATCTTGACCGGGAACGCGTAGTTTTTTTATGTAAAAAATTAGTATTTTAAAAACTTTACTAAGTTACCACTTTTTTTAAAATCAAAAAAAACATTTTCTATATCCATTTAATGAGCTAAATATGAATCTGCTTTTATTTTTTTTTAAAAAATGTATCTTGACCGGGGACGCGTAGTTTTTTTATGTAAAAAATTAGTATTTTAAAAATTTTACTAAGTTACCACTTTTTTTAAAATCAAAAAAAAACATTTTCTATATCCATTTAATGAGCTAAATATGAATCTGCTTTTATTTTTTTAAAAAAAATGTATCTTGACCAAGGACTCGTAGTTTTTAATTTAAAAAAATAATTTTTAAAAAATTTTACTCATTTTTTTTAAATCATAAAAAACATTTTCTATATTCATTTAATGAGCTAAATATGAGTCTGCTTTTATTTTTTAAAAAAAATGTATCTTGACCGGGGGACGCGTAGTTTTTTGATGTAAAAAAATAATTTTTTAAAAAATTTACTAAGTTATCATTTTTTTTAAAAATCATAAAAAACATTTTTTAACTCATCTTATAAAGCTAAATAAGATTTTTTATTAATATTATATAAATTAAACCCGTTTGACCGGGGACGCGTATTTTAGTCATGCCCTAAATAATATATCACATGTATGATTAAGTATTACATATCATATAAATTGCATAGATTAGGAATATATTATTTTATTGCAAACCAGTAGCGTCACTTCAGTGGCATCACTCGAAGGGGGCAGGTGTTTGAGTCGCAGCTAAAAATAAAAATTATATTTCATTTTGTAAGTCTATATGGCCTTTTAATTAAATATTTTTATAAAATAATAATCTTGCGGTTTTTATTTAAGTTATAAATTTTGGACCTGTAAACTCTTGATGTTTTGCTTTCGAATATCTTTGAATTTAATATTTTCTTATTCACTTATACTATATCTATATGTAAAAAAAAAATTTTGGACAGCCATGGCTTTTTCACTTACATTTTTTTAAAAAAAAATAAATATTTTTTTCAAGGATAGATGGCACTTTTATATAAAATAGCGCGTTTTGTTAAAATTATTTATTAATTTTTTTGAATTTTTTAAACAAAAATGATAAGATTTTCCAGATTAATATCATGAAATCAAATTATTTAGCCACGATTATAATAATAATAAAAAAAATTTTCTTCGAAGTTATTTTTTTTAATTTTGCAAATATGATAGGAAAATTAAAATTCACCGAAAATATTATTTTTTTTTGGCGCCTTGATAATTTTGTTTTTGTAATAAAGAATATACGCCCAGTCATTTTTGATGGGCTCACTGTTAAATTACTATTTTTTGATATTTAAAGGGGAATCTGGTATCGCTTCATAACAAAAAAATTTGCCTCATCCTTTAGGATGGAGAAAATTTATTTTCTTTTCATCTCTATCACCCACTTTTTGCACAAATCAATCCTAACAACCAATCGTTACGTATCCTTTAATTTCATCGATTAAATTTACTACATTAACATTATCTCTTCTGCTTCATACTCTGGCTTGGGTGACATGAAAAATTTATATCTTTTATAGGCTCTCCATCATATTTACAAAATTGTACAATTATTTGATCTGAATAAGGTCTTTGTAAGCTTTCTTTGTCAACTAACCTATTCTGGATTCTTAATTATTATTTCTGAGATAGCTTTTGATATTTTCACTATCTTTTTTTTATATCATTTTTTTGTATCATTTTTTTCAGTAAATTTTTTTTTTCTATTCCAATTTCATTTAAAGTAATATTGATTATGCCTATTTGATGTGGATGCTTCGTTGATACTTATTTCATATTCGTTTTCAGAATTTATATTTTCTATTATGTTAATAAACGCTTACTGCATTGATCAAAAATTTAGAGTTTTCCCATTCAAATATTTGGAAATTAAGTTTAGCCGATTCATTTTATAATTAAAGTGCTTGGATTCTTTGCAAGGATTTGAGCATTTATATTAGCAGGCAGGTGCATGAAAACTGGCTTTCTATCTTTTAACAATTAATTACTATATTTTCCTGAGGGGAGATATCGGAATCGTAACTATCTTAATTTAGGAAAAATTATTAATTATATTGGTATAGGTTAATTTTTTTAAAAAATCCAATATCGGCACCTGTACTGAATGGTTTGCTGATTTTTTATCAAAATATAGAAGATAATGACGCTCAAATATAATATAAATTCATCATTTTTAAAAATATATATGACGCTATCTATCGGATATTATTTTATTTTTTTTACTTTCATAAATAATAATTTTATAAAATTTATGAGAAAATTTTATATATTAAGCTAAAATATCGAATAATTAATTTTTCTATATACACCTATCTTTTAAAATAATTAGGGGATATTAAAAGATTCATTATTTTTCTTCCTATATTGAAGGTGTCTTTCTTTTTTTTGTATATATTAAAAATCTTGTATATTAAATAATTTACATGAATACGTTATTTAATGTGTAACCTTTACCATGGCAGAATGGTCATGTACAAATATAATAAATTTTATTAATTTTTTACTTTCATAAATAATAATAATTTTAAAAAATTTATGAGAAAATTTTATATTATTAAGCTAAAATATGGAATAATTAATTTTTCTATATACCTTTATCTTTTAAAATAGTTAGGGGGGGGATATTTATTGAAGGTGTATTTTTCCTGTATATTAAATAATTTACCACTGCATTTTGCTGTCATACTGAATACGTTATTTAATGATGTATATCATTTACCATGGCAGGAAGGTGATGTACAAATATAATAAAAAAAATTTTTGTAATATTTTGATCTTCTATATGTAGAAGGTATCATTATTGGTAAAAAGGTCAAAAACAAACTTGTTTATATAAAAAAAAATCGAAATATTGACACGAAATAATGACAAAACAAAGACAAACGGGTCGGACCGATACCCTCTATCCAATTACATAATCTTTCAAAGGGTCTCCGATGATTTCGGGAAATATATCGCGTCTTAATTTATTACTAGACGATAAAGTTATATCTATATACTTAGCGATATCTTTCATTTTCATTCGCTCTCTCTCTCTCTCAGTTACAGAATAATTTTTACCTTATTCCAGTTGGATCGATAATAGAATCAGTACTTAAAGAGGGAGAATTGATAATATAGAAATTATTTGTAACTGACTGATATGTTAGATATTGAATTAAATAAAACAGGATCAGGATTTGATGTAAATGAATTTGTATTATTTGTGTTACTAGATAAAATTTATCGTATATTAAACATTTGAAGAAAAAAATTTTTATTTAAATTTTAAAAAACGCGTTAGAAAATATAATTAAAGATTACAAGTTATTGCCGCTAACATATATAGATGATATAATTTATATTTGAATGTATAATTTTTTCAAAAAAAAAGGCTTAAATAATAAATTAAGAAAAAATAAAGATGTTAAAAATAATATAAAGTTATAAAATGAGATTGACTTCAATATACTATGTTAATTAAATCGTAAGAAACTAATAAAGTTTAAGTTAGTATTAAATAAAATATTGTATTAAATTTACCAGTTAGGTAGGCCATATGAAATAATAAAATTAGAATAATATTTTAACAAAATATAAATTTCAAGATGAATTAATATTACAACATGAATTACAATAATTAAAAAAATATATTAGTTAAAATTTATGTTGATTTTAATATAGAAAAAGAAATATAGTTGTTAAGATAAACCCGGCCAAAGGCCAGCCAAAATGGCTGACATATTCATTTGACCAAGATAATTTTTAACTACATATTATATGGAAAAAATTATTTAGACATGTCAATTTTAATCACATTTGACATTTATTTAATCTCTATAAGGCCCTGTTTGTAGTAGTGTGCCATTTGCTCAAGTGAATTTATCGCTGCGTAAAATACAAACGCAAGTAATATTGAACGATGGGTGAAACGAATTATTGGGCTATTTATGAAATTTGATTATGAATTTCGAATCGCTTGAGTAAATCGCGCTTACTATAAGCGAGGTCTTATTCATTAAAAAAATTATTTATTTGAATCTAATCAGTTAAATATTTGATTAGTGACTGATTTATATTTGACTGGCCATACAACATCATTTCAAATACATACTCCTACAAATTTAAGTTATTTATAAAACGACAATTTTTAATCAAATTACTAAAAGGTCCGAAAATTATCACTCTACTCCGACCACCTTAATTTTGCCTTGGAAGAGTACGCCGGTAGTAAAGGTCAGTTTCCTCCCAAAATTCGTAGGAACAAATGTGCCATCTACATTGCCACTATCGAGAAAGCGAATTCCTTGATAGATTCATTCGTCGAATGCGATAACGAAAATGCCATGATGCGGAAATTGGGGATAGTTTGTGTTGACGAATTGCATATGATAGGAATAGAAAATGCTGGGCATAGAGCTGCCGCCTTAGAATCGCTTATAACTAAGGTTTTTATTTGTTTTTTCCAACCATCCAATATATTTTACATACAAGACATAACAATAAATTTATTTTAATCATTTTAAATCAAATAATATATTCGTTGACAACCAGACAACCACATCTTTGGAAGTGATTATTTTTTTAAAAAAAATGGAACTTTTTTTAAGTATCTACTTTCCTCGAGGGGTTTGGGTTTATATTGATATTTAAGATCGATTTGTAATTTAAAAATTGAGTACCCTTAGATATATTGAGGATGATAATCAAATTAAGTATAGGAGGAAAATAATCCTTAAGATAATATATTGCAAACAGTATTTCCTCCGTTATAAAAATAATAAATAAATTAAGGTGAAATATTTTGACGCTAATCGATCACACACAACTAAAGAGAGGATCAAAATGGTAGGAATGAGTGCCACTTTGCCGGAAACAAAGGAATGCGGCCATTTACCCAAATTTATGAACGCGCTTTTGTTCAAGAGCGATTTTAGACCTATTAAATTAAAGTTTTTTGCGATTAATCATTTTTTTCGAACTCTCCTTAATAATAATGAACTTTTTGAGTGTTTTTTTTAAGAATATTCTTAATTTACAGCTAAATTTATTTCAAGAGATTAATATAATTATACCTCCATTTTTTTGATCCTTGGAAAGAATAAAGTTTAATAATATAATAATTATTCATTTAAAATCCTTCGCTCTCTTTCTTTTTAAAAGCGAATTCGTCAAATTGCGTAACGACATATACCAAGTCAACAAGAATCAAAGCAAGGTATTGAAACACGCTCGTAAATTGAGATGGCCATCTTATTATTGCGAAAATTGTAAAAAGATAGATCCGGATATGATCTTCGATCTGGTAGTTAGTTCCAATCAGTACCACCACCAGGAATTACTGAATCTCCGTGAGGGATTAGCACGAGATGTTTGCAATGAGGTTTCTTTTTTTAAATACAACACGTTACATTTTGTACCGCATCATTTGTAAGTTATCATAAATTTGAGATTTGTGAGGTAAAAATATATATAAATATAAAGAATCAGGAAAGGGCTGCGAAAAAAAATTTAAGCGCGAAATTAAAATAATAATATAATTAGGTATCTGAAGTAAGGAGTAGAATTAAAGGTTAGAGACATATGGGTTAGGTTTATTTAAAGGTTTGAGATATACAGCTTAATAAAAAAAATTTATCCTTTTTATTAATAAGTTGTCAAACCTGGCAGATCATGTGATTATAGAAATTTAAATAAGTCATTTGTTGTAACGGCAATTTCCTTGATTCGGACTATTGATATATAACATAATATTTTCATTGGATATGCCTACATTGTAGAGTTTGGGGTGGGGGGGGGGGGGTAGGTATAACCGAATATTATTTAATGGCTGCGTTATAATGCACACTCACCTGGAGAGGTCAAGGCCTGATCCCGACTTTTAAAAAAAAAATTTGGGGGAGGGGACCTACCCAGGATAATTTCTAAATCCGGTCTGTTCCTGAATTTTTTTTTGACCCATTCCAGAATTTAAGTGCAAATTACTTCTAAGGGAAAATGAAAATATGAACAGTAAATGAATATTAATTTCATTTTACTATTATTTACCTAATTAATTTGTTATAATTTAAATTAATTTTTTAAAACATCAGGCCAGCCAGATTTTAAAAATTATTTTTGAGCTTTAAGGCTGGATTCATATTGGGATCCGGCCCTAACACGGTTTAACAGCTGATCGATTTATAAAAATCCGTTTATGTGATAAATTTTTTTTTATTAATATTAATTTTATTTTTTAATTATATTCATGTAAATAATCTAGGAAATATTCATTTTAGTAAATAAAAATTGACCTCATAAACAGATTTTTAAAATTGATCAGCTGTTAAATCGTGTAAGACCAGATCCCACTATGAATTCAGCCTAAGCCATTACGTCCGACCCGAATTTTTAAATTCATAAAATTTTTTGGGTCGAGTTGATCCAAACCTGCAGGTCTCTGATAATGTCTGAAAAGCAAGCGAGACCATAATTTATGACACTCATTATCACGAATATAATTGAAATCTTTGGCTGTGTTCATAAAGGATCTGATCTCACCCAATTTAACAGCTGATCGATTTTTAAAAATCTGTTTATGGGATCAATTTTTCTTCTTGAAAACAATCTATGTATCATTTTTAATAAAAAAAAATTGATCTCCATTAAAAGATTTTTTAAAATCGCTCGGCAATGTAGGATCGAGGATTCCACTATAAATCCAGCATAAATCATTTTTTTTTATAAATATAATTTTAAAAAAATAGATGGAAATCGCCGAAAAGCTCAACCCCATTTCTTGCTTAATATTTTGTCCTACCAGAAAGAATTGCGAAAACGTTGCATTGAACCTGACTCGAATATGCGAAATTTTATACAAACGAGCCAAGAGGATTGGTAGACTCCTCAAGATACAAAGGCGAAATATTGACAGGAAAGAAGGGTAATTTAATTTGGCATTCCATAAAAGGCCAATCGCATTTGGGGATTTATTATTTCAAACGATTTATTAATGTGTTTTTTATTTTATATTTTTCATTGTGTTTTCAAGCTAATAATATTATTAGTAAGAAATTTGTAGAATTTTGTTAATATGATGTTGATTAATTTATTTATTATATTTGATATCAAAATGCTTCATTATTTATTAAAATATTCTCTTTAGACTTGTCTAAAATATCAAAATATTTGATTCGCAAACTGATAAGAAAATAATTTAACTTTGTTAGAAATCAATCATAATTTTTATTGTAATTTTAACGACCTAGAGTAGTCACTTAAAAATTTCTGGTTGCAAATATTTTTATTTGGTACAACTCAAGGAAATTACTTTTAGCACAGCAGATTTATTTAAATTTCTGTTAGATTTGACAGGTTTATTAGAGACCATTTATGACATATCTTAACCCTAACCCATGTCTCTCAAGCCTTAAATTAGCCTTTACCCATATTTCACTAACCTTTAATCTTACTCCACTTAATTGTATAATTTTAAATTTTATCAAAGGAAAGACTTGACCAAGAAGACCGATCTCCACGGGGAATTCAGAACAGCGTCTGCTGTTATGCGAAATAATGATGGATTATCCGATAATCATAAGTATTTTTTAAAAAAGTTTTTTTTGTTACATCCGCCCTTTACAATAATTATACAAAATTTTATTAAACAAAGCCCTAACGTTAATATCTTCAACCCCATTTTTTCGCTCGTTTCCGAACCTTTGGCAAAAAATGTAGATGGCGTTAATGCGCAAACCATCGACGTACATTCGCTCCGTAAAGATCTAATCAGAGACTTGCAGGATTTGCACGAGATGACTCTCGATGAATCGAAATCAGGTTTTTTTTTAATAACAAAAATTATAATAAGGAGATAGATAGAGGAGACTTAGGGATCATGCGGCCTTAGAATTGAAACTGTAATAAAAAAAAATTTAAAAATTGATATCTAATTTTTTCCAATATTCACTATTTAATAGTCTCATATCTTTCCTCTGTTGCTATCTATTTCTTTCTACGCTTAATAAATAATAATTAATTGTGCCCCCCCCTTTTACATTATATAAGGATTTTTTTAAAACTTGCAATACCTTTACACCAAACATTCCTAGACCTACTTACTCCTATGACCAAAAACGAAATCTGTGTTCTAGTTTTACCAATAGGCGGTTCAGTCAGTATACGAACATTTATAAAATATCCTTAAACCTTTGCCTTCACATCACGCTATTATATGATTAACATTCTCAAAATTCTATATTACTTCAGTTCATCAGGAATATTCCTATTTCCAAAAATTCTCCAAAATTACAAAATTATAATCAAATCCTTATTGGAGGATATTTTTAATATAAAATTTTGTCAGAAAACATGACTGCAAATTGCCCTTCCCAAAAAATCTGGGAGACTTGGGTTACGCTCTCCATTACCTCTATCAATCGTATCATTCTTATCTTCCAATAGTAACCTTGAATTTATTCGAAATCTAATTAAACCAGCCGAAGATTTGCTACCTAGTCTCGCGTTATCATCTCACAAGCTCATGTCACTCTCCTTTGACTACTTTCGAACAATGACACAGAGCATTTTGCAAACTTCCGTTTAATGATTATGGACCAGTCCGTCTATGAATGGCTAGTTACTTTTTCCAAACAAAACTATAAGATCAATTTTAACAGATGCCGAATTTAGTCATGCAGTGGCAATAAGGTTAGGGTTAAAAATATCTCAACCCTATAAATATCAAAGAGGAGCATAAATGAAAAAGCGAGACATACTCTCAATTGTCTTTTTAATAGATACAAATACAAAAGGCATGAAAAAATTATAATATTTGTTATTTAAAGCCGATGTTCCTACACATTTAGAACCGCGAGATACCTCAGTTATCAATAATTCACGGCCTGGTGGACATACATTAATTCTGGGATATTGGGAAATTCATGTATTTGGATTTTACGTGTCCTTTCTAATAATAATCGTGATCCAGTAGGTAATGCCGAGAAAAGAAAATGGCCAAAATATCACATCGTACCGAAAACAGTTTATTTACACTGATCATGGTATCAACAATCTGTTCATTCGGTTCCCTAGTCAAACTAATCAATCAAAAGAACTATAAAACAATAATTTCAAGGGCTTCTTTGATCAAACAAAACCATCTTGGTAATTTTACGTTATAATTTTAAATTATTTAAAGATTCCGGGCCGTCGACATATATTAGATGACTCTTCTTAACATTCTTTTTTTTTAATGTATGTTTTTTTAAGATATCCTTTTTTTTAAATTTTTGATATGTATTTTAAATTTATATTTATAATATGTTTTTTTTAAATACATGTTTGAAAGTTATTTATTTAAATTTATTATATAATATAAAAATTGATCATTTTTAATTCCAAAAATTAATTAGGAGAGGACATAGAGAAAAGAAATGAACGTTATTTATTTTAATGAAATTTTTTTTTATTACCACTACAATCCTTATGGAAAATATAATTTGCATATCACCAAATATTTTGCTGGAATTTTTTTTTCTGATCGAGATCATTTTACTATATTACAGAGATGCCCCATTACCTCTTTTATTTACCGATACTAATACGGTATCGCTTATACTTAATATCCGGCATTGGCTATGATACCGGTATTCTGTTTATTATAATACTCGTATTCGACATCGGTCATGCCACCGATATCCAGTTACCAAGTTTTATTAAAATGAAATTATAATTTTAAAAAAAATTTGAAAAATAAAAAAAAAATTAAAACATTTTTTTCCCTTCATTTTCCCACCATAAAATATTTTTCTTTATTATTTTTTTTAAAAATTTGACGTACATGAATGAATACCTCTGTATATCGTTTACATTTAATTTCTATGCTAATAAAGTTTATTCCGCAAACAAATACATTTTTTAAAGAAAATAAAAGCATCTATAGATACTCTAAAGTATCGGGATCTGTGCATCTTCGCTATACTATTAAGTGTTGGGTAACTTGTTTTTATACCGATGGATAATAAATTAAAAATTTACTATATTAAACTTTTTTGACTCTAGATGTGCCAGACCGTATCTGTCCCACCTTGAAAAGAAGCCTTCGATATGGTATCGCCTATCATCACGGGGGTCTGACTGGTGACGAGAGGAGGCTTATAGAAGCCGCTTATAACAAGGGAATATTAAATGTAATATGCTGTACTTCAACCCTTGCTGCCGGAGTCAATTTGCCTGCGAGAAAGTTATAATGCGTTTTTTGTTTTTGTTATTATTGTTTTATTTATAATTTTAAGTAATTTATTTTTAAAGATTACAAAATACGATAAAAAAAAGTGATTATTTTGCCATTGCAATCTGATTCCCCAAGTTTTTCGAGGAATTAACAAAACGATATTATACTATTTAAGGAAAATCGGTGTAAATTTTTGAAAGGAGTTTTTGACACGGCTGGTAAAATAATTTTGTTCACGTTTCTTGGCCCATAATAATTTATTAATTGTAAGCCTTTAAAAAGATTTATTAACCTCTTACCTTTACAAATATATTGCACGAGTTGTTCAGTCCTGAAATCATGATTCTGCCTTCAGTCTGGGCCTCGGCAACCATGGATACCCCCCTTCCCAAATGCTTTAACCTCTCACGTACTCTAAAAGCTTCTGCTCCAATTGTTGGGAATCTTCTACCCTGACTATCGTCGAATCTCATAATCACTTCCAGTAAATTATCTACTTAAAAAAATGATGGGTCGAATGATTCCTGTTATGAATCCTTTGAAAATGATTAAGCATGCTTGTTCTCACTTTGTTATTCATAGAATATATTGCCTTATGTTAGATATGCATGGTGATAAAAAATTATCTTTTCTTATTTAGACTAAATGTATTTACAAAGATCAAAAATATACACTTGAAAATATATTATTTCAAGAATATATAATTATATTTCATGAGATTTGAATAGCTCCGTTAAATAACCAATATAAATAAGTTAAGATATAAGAAAGGTTAAATTGAATATATTCAAATCATATAAAATAAGATTAAATTTATAAATATAATTTAATGACTTAATATGAATATTTCTATTATATAACATTCTCCCTCTTCTAAGAAGCTTTCCCTGTAATGATGTAAGCTATCGTTGAGAGCTTGTCCAAATGGTTTATCGTTTTGGCTGTTCTTGTTGTTGCATAAGTCATATTTGTTATCATTGGCTTGTCTATATCGTATTTCATCTTATACGTTGGTTTGTCCAAATCGTTTTTGAGCTTGTACGTTGGTTTGTCCAAATCGTTCTTGACCTTCTACGTTGGTTTGTCCATATCGTTCTTGAGCTTGTACGTTGGTTTGTCCAAATCGTTCTTGACCTTGTACGTTGGTTTGTCCAAATAGTTAGCTTGTTACCCTTACTAAGTCGTTTTCATCAATCGTTAATTTATCTCGTTAGCTTGCTTGTTGTACTCCGTTGTTATTATTACCAATTTTCAAAATTTTTATCATCATCAATCAGTTATGAATAATTGGGAACAAGAATTGATCAATTGGATATTAGAATAAATGAATTATCGGAATAATATATGGAACATAATTGAATTGAACTATCGAATATGTTGGAATGATAAATCAATAAGATTATTTTATCAAATTTTTTAATGTTTAATTTATTTTCGCGTTTTAGTGTTAAATATTTTATTTCATATTTTAAGTTACATAATCTTTTAAGTAAATCTGTTTTTGTTTTATTCTTATAGGTCTAGAAATTGGTGTTAATATATTTTTGTCGCGATATTAGAATTCGATTGGACTTATTAAAACTTTCAAAGGAAGGAAGAAGGTGAGGATAACCTAATACTATCGCATAATAGAACTATGAATATAGGAAATTTTATTTGGTATAAAATACAAGGAGATAATAAATGAGATGAATACTAATCACGCATAAAGAAAGTGACATGATGTTCCAAGTTAAGACAGATAAAAACTTCATTTGCAAAAAGAATATGTTATAATACTTTTATAAATCATGATATTAACAGTGAACACAGATTAAAATATTATAAACAAAAAATTATTAACCAATTTCTAGACCTATAAGAATAAAACAAAAACCTGCTTACTTAAAAGATTATGTAACTTAGAATAAGAAATAAAATATTTAACACGAAAACGCGAAAATAAATTAAACATTAAAAATTTGATATAATAATCTTATTGATTTATCATTCCAACATAATCGATTATTATATTCTATTTCATATATTATTCCAATAATTCATTTATTCTAATATCCAATTCGATCAATTCTTATTCCTAATTATTCCTAACTGATTGACGATGATAATAGCAATTTTGAAAATTGGTAATAATAACAAAGGAGTACGACAAGCAAGCTAACTAGACGAATTAAAGATTCATAAAACTCACCATATGTATAACAAGCTAGCGATTTGGACAAACAACGCACAAGCTCAAAAACGATTTGGATAAACCAACGCACAAGTTCGTTTTTAGAAGTTTTGTAAAATTTATATATTCCTACCCAAATTATTTTTCTTATTTCCCATTTTGATTAACAATTTGAAATATATAAATCAAATTATTGCACACTGTTAAAATTTTAGAAAAATAAAAGCCATTGTAGATTTCATCGAAGAAACGAGAAGGAGAATAGTATTTCCTATATATAAAATTATTGAAATTTTACTTAATTTATAATTATAAATCTTAATTATAAACAAAAGGAATTAAAATAACTATAGTATTACTTGGTTGATTTAATTTATTCAAATGATGAAACAATTTTATGATCTTCCGAATTTGCTTTTTAGATGCTTTTTTTTAATGCTTTCCAAATATTAAAAAAAAAAATATGATAAATTCATCCTAGATATAAGAAATATAAAAGATGAAAATTTTTTTCTTCTAAAAATAACACAAATTTTAACATTTGAAAATAAATTAATTTAATTATATTTAGGAAATACTGGGTTATTTTATTTAATTAAAATACATTTATAAAAGTATAGATATTCTCTGTAAAATAAGTTATTAAATTTTTTTTTAAAAAATGCTCTTTTAAAATAAAATGTACCTTGATCAAAAGAACTGTTAAAATTTGGGGATTTGACATTTATTTTTATTCTGCATATCTTATTCTCTCATAATAATAGCATGAGTTTCAGTTCAAAAACAAAGGAAAACCTTGTATACAACCTTTAGCTTCCACCTAAAACTTATTTTGTTTCCCCGAGCTAAGCTCTTTGACCCTTTCTTACATTTTGTCCTGATACAACAAATGGCACCAATTGAATTTATTTGTAATCCCACGATGGAATATCTGTTAAAAAACAATGAATAAATTTTACTGATATCTCTTTTAAGAAAAAAAAATATCGAATAATCTACATTCTTCTATTTTAATATCCCAGTGATTAATTGCCTGTTTATTTATAAACTTTTAAATTTTCTTTGTACCAATGTATATGGAGACTTAGGAAAGAAAGAAATAAAAAGAAATATGTACACCTCTAATAATAAAGATCAACAGGCAAAAATATTTGTCTCTCTTAAAAATAAAGGGTCATTATTCGCTCCATGACCATAGCCAAAGGAATCCGGTTGAGCCAAAGTCAATACGTTCAAATGATTGGTCGAGCCGGAAGACCAAATTTTAAATCATCCCGCGAAAACTATCAAGCCGAATCATTTTTTATACTCAACGACACCATATTTAATCATAACGACACTATGCTCGAAGGGGTTAGCCTAGACTCGTTATTTAGCTACAACTCCGATCTAGCGAGAACTAGAACTAATAACGTGTCCCCTCTTTTCCCGTCGCCGAGATTGGGAAATTTACACTCCGCTATCGAAGGCTCGGAAGAGATGATGACGATTAATCACAACCCCATCACCTCTGGAATGATTGTGCCTTGTAAGGAAGAATCACCCAAAGTTGGACAAAATGGCGAAACAGGGGCGATCGACGATAAAGGATTCAGGTCCCTCCTCCTAACCGCCATAGGATTACAAGTTTTATTATTATTGCTGAATATTGGAATGATTCAACTGCCTTACATAACATAAAGTTAACTATTTTCTGTTAGACTGCATATTTATTTATCAATCTATTCACTTAAATTAGATTACCCTATAAATATATAAATAATGATTTGATATCGAACATCTATAAGAAATTAGTGATATCAATTTTATTTAAAAAATAAATTCCTTTAATAGATGGCAAATAACAAAAGGCAGTTGATACAATTGGTCAATGGTACTTTGTACGCTTGTCAAACCTATCTCAACAACGAATTTAAAGCATACGATGGCTCAATTAACCCCGTTAACGATGAAAAGAGTATGAATGAGACCGATAATAATGATAGTATTTTTGACAATGGCGGAGATAAGGCCAAGCAATCAAAGTAACATTTGTATCCCCTTTTGGTTTAAATGAACATTCATTGTGGTTGCTTTTTGTTGTTAAAAATTAATAAAAATTTTTTTATCAGATTTACAGTCAGTTGAGTGTTGTAGAATTCTATATTCACAATTTTTTTTTCATTATTTGTTAAATATGAATTGAATCACAAATACTGAATAGTTCGTTATAGGATAACTTCTCGTATTAGAGTTATGCTCCTGAAAATTTCAAAAATACAACACTAAAACTCAGCCGATGGATGATATGTTAATGAAAGAAAGAAATAAGAAAAAAAACTAAATTCACCAAAAAAAAGAAATTACAAAATTTGATAATAAAACTCAATAAATTTAGTTCTACTAAGATCTTTAACGATAAGGCTTGGAAATTGGTTCGTTCGATTTTGGGCAAATTGATCAAATCTAACTTGATAAAGGCTAAAATGGGCGTTCATAAAAATTGCTTCGAGGTTACCAAATTGGGAAAGGCCATTTACAAAAGTAGATGTTTTTATTTTTTGAAAAAATTATTCCCTTAGCAGATTCTTAGACAGATATTTGTTGTAACTACCTCTAAATTAATATCTCCTAGTATTAGATCCCTGCACCAATGCTATATATACTACTAGATTGGCGATTCATTAATTAAAAGTGTATAATCATAGAGGTCAGCTGTAGCGCCATTTTGTGGTTTGCGTCGACTAATTGTATTTATGTAACATATAAATGAATATTAATGTCATTTAAAATAGGTTCAAACCACAAAATGGCGCTACAGCTGACTCCTGTGTATGGAAACTTAAGCATTTAATGAATGAATCCTGAAGCTAACAGTATATACATCATCCTTATACCTGATCCAGTTTTCAAGCTCGATCCAAAAAAATCTATAACCCAAGAGAATCTATACAATCCCCCCTCCCACCAACACCTTAACGAAATTATTAAGGTTCTGCTTTTCCGAATCCTAAAAATTTTTGTCTGTCCTAATCGATTTACGAGTTTGGTCTAAGAGGTAGAGATCTGCAAATGGCAAAATCTCTAAGGACCTGTGGGAATTTAGCCTTTGCCAGCCCGGTTTTAATTTTTTTCCTGGCCCATATTGGGGAGTGTTTTTATTAAAAACGATATATTTTAGGGATTATTACTTCCATAAAATATCCGAATTCATCATATATCAGACCTCTAGGCTTGGCCTGGCCTGGGGTACACGAGCCGTAACGTATTTTAATATTTATAAATATACTTGGGTCAAGGCGTTTATTTTGAACCCTAATATTTTTAATCGCCATTAGCTATAAAATTTAAAAATGAATGCAATATATTTAAAAAAAATCTGGGCCGGGCCTGAACGTATAAAATTCGGGCCTGGCCTAGAAAATTTTTTTTGAAAAAATCCGAACCAGCCCGTGAACATAATGGTACTTTTGCAGATTATACAAAAAAAAATTCAGACATAGCAGCTTTAAGAAGGGATTTAATGAGTAGATGCCGATTCAACTTTCCCCGATGGAAACGGAAATTTTGAAACTTTAATGTAGCATTTTTAACTCCCCCCCCTCTCTCACTTTTGATGAGAAAAGAATAAATTTTACTGTATAACATAAATTTGGCAAAGGTAGTATAGACCAAGAACACAGCAAAATTTTATATTCCGATTTGGTCTCGAGTCAACATTTGATGGTACTATCTACTCATTTGCATTTGTTACACTTGGTTACTCCTTATACATCTCCCGGTATCATGGAAATCGATTGGACGATATACCAATCCAAAGTGAAATTTCTTAACAAAAAACAATCTTCATTAACGCTAAGGCCCATTCCAGAACTTTCTCGCGTTTTAAGCGCTTAACAAATTGATCATTTGGTATTTATTATTTTTTAAAAACTAATTATACAGGGTAGTTTTAAATATTATATATATATATATAACACCTAAAGCTATTTTAAAAATAAAAATAAAACGTGTCCCAAAAACATAATTCTAGGAAAACTATAAAATTTCAAAATTTAACATTTACTATTTCATTATTTGCGAAACTTTTCACATTTTTTTTTAAAAAAATTTTTAATTTGCCAATTTTCGTAACTATCGAGAGAAAAAATGAAATAAGCTTTTCTTTGATTAATAATGCTCACGCAAATAAGGTATCGAAATTTACCGCTCACGAATCAAAGGTCATCGAAATTTTAGGCATAACCGAGAACTATTTATTGCGCAGGATGACGTGCCATGCCTACGATAAAGTTTTAATAAATAATCAATTTTTATATATCCTTTCCCTTTTTTATACTTCTAAAAAACAGCTGATTTTTATATTAATAAAAATGTCTTCGAATTTGTTTATACAACGTTTTTTATCTATTTAATGAATAATGACACCTCTTCCTTTGGGAACCCAAAAATTTCTCAACAGTTATAATTTATCATTTTGAACGAATAAGGCTGGATTCATGAGTGGAATCCGAACAGACACGATTTAAACAGCTGATCGATTTTTAAAATCTGTGAGATCAATTTTTTTAAATTAAGTGTTTATATAATTCTGTTAAATAAAGAAAAATTGATCTCATATAAAATCGCTCAGCTGTTAAATCGGATTCCACTATGAATCCACCCCAAAGCTACCATCTATCAGGCGATGCACTTAATGAATGAAAAATGTTTCTTTCATGTGTGCTGTTCTATAAAGATTAAAGAACGATTTGTTATATGTGCACTAACGATCATCTATCTTCCTAATATAATCATTGAATGTTTAGGCCCAATAGATTTCGTAAAATTTTTTATTTGTTAAGAAGAACATAATTGTTATTCCTAACAGAAAATAGATATAAATTTGGTTGAAAGATTTTATCGCACCCTCATGCTGAGAGAGCTATGGATGGGCCAATCCGTGTGGAGTGTTAGCCAAGATTTCAAAGTTGATAGGGGTTTCGTGCAGGGTTTGTTCCAAAATTCTACCTCCTTTGCCTACGCCGTTTATAATTTTACCCAAGTAAATTTTTATATATTTAGCACATTTATTAATAAAACTAGAAGCATTTATTTTATTTTTGGTTTAATTATTTCTTTTGGACCATTATTTGCTTTGTTAATTTTTTTTTGATACAAAAAACTATATTTTGATTTTGTTTTTTAAAATATAAAATGTTTGAATTTCCTTTTCTTTGCAATTAGGAAATAATATAATGCTTTATCTTTACATTTAAAAAAAATATTTATAAAACATTATCCGAATCACTAGTCTTTCTTCTGGGTTATTTAGCAAGTTAGATATCGTGTTTTTTTAGTATTTGAATTTATATATATCACATCTATAATCTAGGAAGACATTTATAGCAGGATTAGATAGCTGTCCAGTGGGCATTTACATACCTGATTATTTTGATTCATTTTTCTTTCTTTCCTGCGAATCTAATCATAAATCTTGAAAAAAATTAGAATATTCTTCTTCGTCGATTCGCAATGAAAATTATTTTATTCGATACTTTGTCCTATAAAGGAACTCCCCCTTCCTTGTAATTCTGTTCTACTATCTTCAGTGTTAATTGAGATATTATTATTTCTTTTGCTAAGATTGATTAAAAATACCGTAAAACGTTATAAAATAATAATGCTCAAAATCGCCATAATGATCAGGGATGTTAAAATTAATGATATATATGAATACTTATTCTAAAAATTATATTCCATTGAAACCTGTTATAGGGTTTTCCATACTTACTTTAAGAGGCTGCCCTAGTATTGTTAATTGGTTGGTTGTATAAACCAAGACCTGGGGTTTTGGTCTAAAAATCGACTAAACCAGCTCTGAGCACGAACCCCGAGCACAGACCCTTGGCTCAGACCCTTGGTTCAGACCACATTCATTTAAAAACATAAGATATGATATAAAAATAAATAATAATATCAAAAATATAAATAAGAGGGGCGGGGAAGGAAACATGGAGCCGACTCCCAAGCTGATTTTATATAAAAATTTTATATATTTGTATATAAAAGAAATCAAATTCATACAGAATTATACAAATTATTATTTTATCACCAGTTTCAAAAAATTAATCGGTTAGGGGGGGGGGGGGCTCATTATTCTTTTTTATTTTTTTTATATTTTTTTTTTGTTATTTTTTAATGATTAGTTAATTTTTTATTTTATTTTTAAATTAATATATCTTATTTTATTTAAGATTTTTTGAAATATTAAATAATTTTTTAGCGTTTATATATGCGATTGCTTACAAATTTTTAAGGGGATGGAAGTTAACTTTAGGGGGGGGGGGGTTAATTATATAAATGAAAAGCAGTTTTATTTCGTTAAATCAAAATGTAGTATTAAATAACGCAATTTCATTCATTAAATCGAAATTATATTAATAAATTTCCTAAACTCTTTTTGTTTTTTCCATATCGCCAGTGGCCCCTACACTTTTTGAGCGAATGAAGCAGAATACCCCATGAAAAGTATCCCCCTCCCTCGTAAAAATGATAATTATTACACCCATAAATTTCAAAAATAATTTTTATTGCATCAATTTTTAATATATAATATAAATAAAATGCAAAAAATATATACTTTATAAATATTATTTTTAAATGAATAATTTAGGTAAATTAGGGGAAGAGAAAGCGAAAGAATTTATAATTTCACTAGTATTTAATTGTTTATTTTTTTCATGATAATATGGTTAAATTATTGACAAAAGAATCTTTCATGGTACTGCGAAGTCTTGTTTTAATTAATTTAATTTTACTCATGACTCTTTCGACAGTACATGAGGTTTTGGGAATGGTTAATAAATATTTATATAAAATTCTTAAATTAGGGAAAGCAGAAAAATTTAATAGTAAACGAAAAGGTAAAATAAATGAATAGTTTTTCCAATCTGAATCGTAAGTCCCTGAATTATCATCATCATCAGAAGAAGCTAAATAATGTATTGGTAAAAATATTTTAATTAAATAAATTTACAATTCTCTGAATCTGACAAATCTTTAGATTCTTGAACCTCTAGGTCATGAGTAATAATTACATTCCCCATTTTGGCCATCTTATAAATATTTCTAAACTTCAACATTTCTTCGAAAATTTGACTTGAATTTAAATTGTAAAATTCACAGATATCCTCGATATTTTCTTTAATAATTGATTTTTCTGCCATTCCCTTTGGCGTAAAAAATGATGTTTGATGTAAAAATTTCATGTAATCATCATTAAATCTTTCGTTTAACTGCATAATAATTAAATCGAGTGCAGCATAAAACACACCTATTTTAAAGCTAAAAAAAATTCCTATATTTAATGATGAAAGTATATAAACCTCTCCTTTTTGGATTATAATGTTTGAAGTCTAGAACTTTCAAAATCAAAAGGTAGATTTCTCCCCTTCATAAAGCTATTTGTCCAATTTTGATTAACATTCTTAAAAGCTACTATTTCAAAGCTTTTCTTTATATCGTTAATATTAAGCCCACCATGCCTTTTTCTAATGTTATCTATCCATTTATCATCTCTTATATTATGCCATTTGCAATTTTTTATTAGGCATTTGTATTTTTTTTGGTTAATATTTTTAGGCATATATTAAAATTGGAAAAATAATTTATGACAAGAAATCTCGGATAACAAATTTACTAAACATCGACCAAAATTTCCGTCAATATATTATATTAAATATTAAGTGGGGGGGGGGGGGTCTTATTATTACATTTATAAACCAGAAATCACATGATCATGATGAATGTAAAAAAATTTAAAAATAAGTACCCCCACTCAAATTTACCCCCCCCCCCTTGTTGTAGGGGCCCTTGCATATCGCATTATGGAATTGCAACAATATGTGTATTTCTAAAAATATATTCAGTATTTTCTGAACGTTTGATATTTCTTCTCGACGTTTGAGGATTTTTTTGAGCATTTCTGTTTAAATTCCGCGATTTAAATCAACCAACTCAAGTTTAGTCGCTAGAGGACGAATAGTTCTATGAACTTGATTAGTTGTTTTTAGTTCTGTTTTTTTCTTTATCTTTAGACTTCTAACTTGAGTCGTTATACGAGTTTTAAGTTGACTAGAAAACGAATTAATGTGTCGTTATACGAGTTTTAAGTTGACTAGAAAACGAATTAATGTGTCGTTTTTTCTACTCAGACTCAAACGGGTGGTTTTTTACGACTTCAACCCAAAGTTGTGGTCGTTTTATTTGATCCGATCCAAAATATGGGTATCGGCTTATTTATTTATTTTTATAGATATACTGGCCATTAGTCTAAATAAAATATATACATTTTGCCAAAGAAACCGCCAAGTATATAGGTGACAATTGTCAAATTTGATATATATTTTTTATAAGAAATTTTTTTCGTGGTTAACATAAACATCTTAAAAATAGCAAAATATGATGATATTTTTTTATTATAATTTATATTTAAACAAATTAACTTATAAATATAATTATAGTATTATTATAAATTGAAATAAAAAATAATAAAATTTTTTGGTAAAAATTAAAGTAAAAGTTTTTTTTTACTCCATTTTCCATTAACTTAATCTTTCTTTTATTATTATTTGACTTAAATTTTCAATCCCCCCCCCCCAATTTATCTTGTTTTCTTGTTCTTAATAATACGCCTCCTCCCCTCATACTTTATTTAACTAATTTTGGTTAGGGTTCACCATTTCGTATGAACATTTATGAAAAAAAGTAAAATGACCTAAAATGACCACATATATATTTGAAGCGAGTATAATATTTGTATAATTTGATGTAACAGATTAGACAAATAAATTTAAATATACTTTTTATTTTAAATAAAATTAAATATAAATTTCTAAATGGTAATTAATATAGATTATATACAATTAATATTATAATAATTGTATATAAAATATATGATCATATTTTATATTAATAATAGAAAAGAATATATTAAAAAATTTAATTAATTAAGATAATATATTATAAATTGCAGATAATTTACAATATTTTAGAAAACTCTTCTAGATCTATTAATATATAACAGACAGCACGATTATACTATAAATATATCTTTGAATCAGTGACGAAGCAAAATAAAAAAATGCTTATTTTTTTTATTATATTTTTTTTCCTTACTTAATTAATGTTTAATAATTGTAATTATGTTATTGAAAATTTATTATGATTATCACAGTTGTATAAAAAGTATATGCATCTATACTTTTATTTAACGCCTTTTTATCTAAAAAATAAAAATATTTAGATGCAAATTTTATGTTATATGTATGAGCATATAATTTAAATAAATATATATTATAAAAATATTAAGACTAATATAATAAAAAAATATATATATAATATTAAAACTCATATATAGAAAAAGATATAAATATCATTTTTTTTCCCATTATCTATAGATATCAGTTCAAGATTGTGAAGGATATTCTTATCATGCAAAGGAATTTATAAATCCTTGCTTAGACATGACGCCTTTTAATTATAAACAATACCCAGAGTTGGGCAGGTCATCCGGAAAACAGATACAGATTCTTTGTGAAAAAATGAATCTTAGATATAGATACTAATATCTTTTTCAAAATATCAAAAAGATACAAGATAAAAGATACTTGTATCTTTTGCCTAATTAGAGTATCTTAAATACAAGATACTTCTAAATTATCATTACCAATTAAATTAGAATAGTTTGTAAAATACAGTTTTTATTATTAATTTGTGAAGAACATAACATACATATAATAAGAATGAATATTTACAATAATTAATAAAATATTTAATGATGAGTTGATTATAATAATTAGGTATTTTAATATTAGTATTAGCCCATTCTTAGCATAGATGAAGGGAGACTAGTATTTTTAATGGGAGTTGAAATATTAATTTGCAAAAGAGTATTTAAAATAAATTCATTATTTTATAAGATAATCAAATTTTTCAAATATTTATAATTGGACCTTTGCCGTTTCGGCGTACTTAACATTGTGCCAAAACTAAATAACCTTT